TTTTTTTTTTTTAATTTAAAGATTTTTTTGTTTATTTCAGAGAGAGAGCACCAGTAGGGGGAGCTGCAGGCAGAGCTAGAGGGACAAGCAGACTCCCTGCTGAGCCGGGAGCCCGATGAGGGACTTGATCCCAGGACCCTGGGATCATGACCTGAGCGGAAGGCAGGCGCTTAACCGACTGAGCCACCCAGGTGCCCCTGAGTGAATGCTTTTGTAATTTATTTAACTAGAGGAGGGAAGAGGAAGAAACCTGGATTGTTCTTCTCTCAAGGAAGTGAGACTAAAGAAACAGCATCACACTTCCCCCAGAAATGTGAATGGAACTCTTTTACTTTAATAACTCTTTCTTGTTCTCCTTGTTGAGGGAGAGCAGTAGCAAACAGGATGGAGATTTGAGGAGCCAGTTGTTCTGGTGGGTGGTTCTCCCCCCGTAAATGTTCCTGGAAAGAAAGGCCTGCTGCTTGTGTTCTTTGAGGGGAAAAAAAAGAGGCCACAAACAGGAAGAACTCCTTGACATTACAGAACTTTAAGTCCCTGGAAAATTGCTTTCTGAATAAAGTACAAGCTAGAAAAGCTGCCTAAGAGATGTTGCAGTCTAAGGACAAAAATACAGCCTAAAGGGGCTCGACTGCAGACAGCAGTTTTCTTTCCTTCTGTCCAGTGGAAGAGTTTTATTTCTCAGCAGAAGCTTACGGAGAGCTATATGAAATCTTAAAGTTCTTTTATGATCCAGAAGGGAATGGATGCAGAGTTTGACAGGAGAGCTTCTTGTTTGATTCTGTCATACAGCATCATAATATTTAAGTCAGGGATAGTTTAGTTGGTTCATGACACGACCATGTGAGAGTTCTCGTAATAATCAGCACATGGCAGGCTGCCTAAGAGTGAAAGTGAGATGGCCCAGAGGATCTGGTACGAGAGCCTGGTGCTGAGGGGAAGACCAGCGGGGGGCTTTTGGCACCACACGCTTACTCATGTTGTACAGTTTTCATTCTTTGAATCCCCTTTCAAAATGAGTCAAATAGGACTCCTGCTGTGTTCTGAGTAACTCTGTGGGAAATATCACTCCTTTTCTGTTGGTTGAATATAAATAGCTTAAAGGGGAAACAATAATGACTGGAGAGTGGCATTCAGGGAAAAGGGTCTTGTAACCCAGTTTGGGTTCATGACTGAAGAATTAACACTATATGACTTTTCTTCTAAGGCTTATTCATACATGATGGAGTTTTAAGGCAGTTGTAATATAATAGTGATGAATCCTATTTGTAAAACACCTGTTCAAAAGAATTCATCCTACTTTACTGACAACTGTTTTTCAACTGTCCTGTGAAGCAGAGAGACCAAAAAGTACTATTTCAAGCCTCCTGTTGGGGGAAACAGATACTCAGAAGTAGGGAAGTGCAGATAGATGCAATCAAGATCATCCAGTTATAATATAAAATTCCTCTCAGCAGATTGCACTTAGGTTCTGTGGCCACCTTTTTTCAGCCCATAGACCGTATCAGTTTACCAACAACAATAATAATATTGCTTAAAGGCAGTATTTATTGAGTATACACTGCGTGCCAAGCGCCGTTCTAAGCACTTTAAACGCAGCGAATCCTTTGAAGTTCACTAGGGAACAAACGTATGGAGTGGAAATCACTGTTAACCCTACTTAGTAAGTGAGGAAACAATTACACAAAGGTGGCTTGCCTAAAGTCACATAACTAATGACAGAAGGAGAAACCAAACCTAAACAGTTGGGCTCCAGGGTCCATGTTCTTAATAATTATGCCATCCTCAATTTTAAAAATCTCCACAAAAACTATCCCATTTTTGTTTCAATGACTAAAAGAATACATGTGCATAACACTTAAGTTTTCATGGAAGGATTTACAGTATTTTAGAGGCTTTTATTTCTGTGTAGTTTACCAAGTTAGATAGCTGGTGGAAAATAATTTTCTAAATCTAAAAGGGAGTTTGGGGCACCACCTATATTATATATGGCTCTGAGCCTAGAAATTTGCAAGAACCACAATTTGGAAACCACCATCAAAGCCTCAAATAAAATTTTTTTAATAAAATTTCTAGGCTAACATGTGAAACTTAACCTGGAGATAAAACCTGGAGAAGAAAATTAAGTTTGAAGTGACAGACTCTTACTTTTCAGAGTATCTAAAATAATAAGCAGTAGATTCACCAATATAAAGTATAGTACCTATTTTTTTTAGTATAGTACCTTTAAATTAGAGATTTGGAACATTACAAGTTAGTTTGGAAGATAGTGTTTTGTTGCCTTGTAAAAGCTTAGAAAAGGGTATTCCCTCAGCAAAGAGAAAATATTTTATTGTCATTGATTAAAAAACAATGGTAACAGAAAGGTCTCTAGTGTCAACTTACAGGGCTTTATGTGGGATAACTTATTCATGCCAGTATTTTCTATAAAATTTTTTCAACTTTATTCTAGCCACTGCCCCCCACCCGAGCCTTCAGCATTCTAATTCACATTGGTAAAAGGCTGAGCACCTGTTGAAGCTCCCCTGAAGGAACTGCAGCAGACTAAGCTCACTAAAAATAAATAAGGAAAGCAAAACTCCTATGTAGTAGAATATTGGGATGAAATGGGCATTCTTACTTTGTTTCCATTTAACTCCCAATTTGTTTCCATTTAACCCTCCATTTAACACATGGTATTGTGTCCCTGAGTCACTTAAAGAGAGAACATTATCTAAAAATGCAGACATGGTATCAGAAAGGCAAACAAAGGTAAGTGGAGGGCAGTACGTGTGAGATGAAAGCCTTCAAGACCAGTGACAGGCACTTTTTCCAATCCTCCCTTACCTTACTCCTGGAACCTAGCACAGGAATCCTCAGGGGATGTGGGGCAGCATGGTCACACAAGCCACCAAGAATAATAATGGAGATGAGTTCAGCTCACCCAGCTGAGCTTTCTTCAACCACAGGATCATTCTCTAGCTCAAAGCTCAGGGGAGAAACAATGTGAAAACTATGTTTTCTTAATCTGTCATTGTGTGGGACATTCATTTTCTTTGCGAGGAAAAAATGAAAGATTCTGATCTCTACTGTTGTACAGGGAAAGATTTTCCAAAATAAGCATAGTAAGATATGGATGTCCACAAGTGAATTAGCATCCTAGATTTCAGTGAGTTGTCAAAGCTTAGGGAGTATGTTTATCCATCTCTCTGCAACCAGTATTGTGAATGAAATGGTTCTGGGGCTGGTTTGAAAAAGTATTGGAAATCCCTATTGTACACAGTCTGCCAGGGAATTTCTAAGAATGCTGAGTGGTGGAGGTACCTCCTTGTAGGTAGGACCTTATTGAACAGGGCATAGGAACTTGGTCCAAAGTTAATACAACATCCATGGAATGAGTCGTAAGATTAAGTTGTTAGGGCAACATGCTTACTACCTTTCAATACCTTAATAAGATTGGCCTGGGTCATTGCAAATACTCTAGCATGAACTTGCAGATACCAAGAGATGGAATGAAGGTGTGATCTGCCCCTGTTCACGTTATCTGCAGAGAGGATAGTGGATGCTCATTATTCATCCATGGATATCTGAACTCAGGAGCAGTTTCTTTGGTCTTGGAGGAAGAAACAAAGATAAAGATCTGATTTGTCACCAGAAGTTGCCTCTGTCTGAAAGTCCAGAGACTTGACTCCTTGGCACAGCTCTTGTCGGGACTAGCTGTGTAACCTTGGAGAAACCATAAATTTCTTTCAGGCACAAGTTACTCAGTGGTCAGAAGAGGAGTTTTAATAGGTTGGTTGCTGAGGCCAGGGTCAGAACTAGATCTCAAGCTTCTCTAACTTGGGCAGGTTCTATAAGACCTGTTCTGTAGACCCGGGGAGTGTCATGGTAGATTTTCTTTGGTGTTAAAATGAATTAACCATCATAAGTTCCTCCATTTTCAGAAGAAATCAGTAATGTGGGCCACGGGTCTTAACCTAAAATTGGATGGACAGTCTTTTATTGTAACAGATGTGGAGAGGAAGAAATGCCCTAGTTTTGTTCTGTCCAATATGGCAGCCATGAGCCATGTGTGGCTAGTTGAATTTAAATTTAAATTAATTTAAATTAAATAAAAAATTTAGTTCCTCAATCATCCTAGCCCATTTCGAGTGCTCAGTAGCCACATGTGTCTGCTGTATTGGGCAGCACATACATGGAATTGCAGAAAGTTCTATTGGTCAACACTGTTTCAGACCTTTGCCCAGACCACAAACTGCAGCTATTTGTCCTCCCTTAGTGCAAGACATAGATGTTTGTGCCCTCGGATGACTGTGTCCATCTTTAAGGAATGAAAGAATGTGTTAAAACTCACGTGGACAAAGAATTATAAGACACTCTTCAGGCAAAAGATGTTGGCATTGGGCAAGAGTTTGAGAGAGATGGGGAGGTTAAAGGAAGGAATTAGGAAACACCCAAACCATTCTGTGCCTTGAGCCTTGGCTAGTCCTGAGCTTCTGTAGAACACAGAGCCCCTAGAGGGGTGTTCCTCGAGATACACTCACCCTATGATCCCAGAGATGGAGAAGTATGAGGAAAGCAGGTCTCCCTTTATCCCCAGGAAATCAGGGACCCTCTCAGTACTCGAGGGTGGGGAAAAGGTTAGTCATGTTGGGCTCATGTTTCAAAAGAGAAAGTTGTTACATAACTGGACTGGCAGGACAAGAAATGGTTCAGGCTTTCTGGAAATAGGTGAGAGGAATAAGCACTCTATCTAACAGCCAGCTCCTTAGGTGCAGGTCTGTGCAGTCAAAGCCAACGAATGTTTTAAGGCTTAAGCTTAAATATTTGTAAGAAAGCATCAGTGATATAAGGCTTTTCTACAGATTAGGCGCCCTGGTTCTGCCTTCAGCCCTGCTGGCTAGGGGGCCATGCCAATGGGGAAAGGAAGAAATCAGAGGCAGGTGGCAAAAAGTGTAATTTTAGCTGCTGTCTGAAAGTCACCTGTGAAGGGAATCACCTTTCTCTTCTGGACCCACTTCCAGGTGCAGCTGCAGGGGACGATACTGAAGATGCTAGCACCGAGTTCACGGACAGCATCGAGGAGGAGGCTGCCCACAATAGCCACCAGCAAGTAAGTCCAAGTCAGGTTCTGGGTTCCCAGGGTGGAGGGCTCAGAGCCCTTTGGGGTCTGGTGGTCTCCTGCAGCCCTTGTGAGCCTAGAGGAAGAAGCTATCTTTTTATAAAAACCACTTCCCAGTCTTCCTTCTGCCCTCCCTGAGCTTCCCAGCCACCTTGCCAGCCAACCCCTACCCTCATTCCACTTTTCTCTCCAATCCACTTTTTTTTTTTTTTTTTTTTTTTACTCTTTCTCTCTCTTACCCCTCCTTCCCACCTTTGCCCCTCTGTGCCATCTATAGCTATAGCTTCAGAAGAAGGTTTACTTACAAGAACATGGACAGTTCCCCTCTTGGGTTTTTGTATCTGAAACACACCACAGAAGACAGGGAGTCATCGGAGGGCTGCTTGGGGAGGTGGCAGGCCTAAGACCTGCTTCAGGAGAGTGCTCTCTGAGAACCTCCAAGAGGACTGGAATGCTTCCAAAGCAGGGATCTGTCTTGGTGAAAGCTCGTTACACAAAAGAGAAGTCTGTTGGGCAACCTGACAGACCACCCAGGTTGGGACACATCAGTGACCAGCAGGTGACACTTCAAGAGCAAGCCCCCATCAAACCTCAGAACTTGGTACCCAAGGCTGAAACACTGTTCCCACCAGCCGTCAGTGAAGGTGTAACCAGCATGTTCGAAAGCTCAAGAGTTGAATATCTGGACCTCAGAGATTAAGTCACTGACAGTGATCCCATTGCACTCACTGGCCCTCCTATGTGTCTCCTCCTTGCATAGTGACACTTAGCAATCACATCTCCTACATGTGAGTCTCTGAGTTATTAAGGAGAAAGTGGATCATTGGTATCCATCCTTCTGCAGAAGTAGCTGGACTTTTCCAGTGGTAGCTTCCTTGGAGCTATTAGAAAAACTGCTGGGAAAATGAGGCTTTCTAGGTCTGCCTCTTTATCTCCTGTACAAGAAAAAGAGGAGACCAACAAAAAGAACTACATGAGCATTCCTCAAATCTCACTGGACTTGGCATAGTCTTTGGCTCTTGAGGACATGAGCAGTTAGTTGTCTGGGCTACCTCATGTCCTCAACACCATTTCTTTACCTTCTACCAAGATCCACTTTTTGTTACTCTAGCCATACCTGACCCTTACTTCTCCCTTAAATTCTTGCATGAGTTCCACTTCTCCTTTTGCTTGAACAGCTTCTTCTAAGTCCTTCTAACCAATGCTTGTGACTTTAATTATGTATACTGCTGCCTCTCCGGACAGATCCCTCTGCCTTGCACTCCTTAATGTCACTGAGGAGCTTTGGGGAGAAGAGAGGGATCTGCAAGATAAACAAATGTCCACTCTAAGAGTTAGATTGGGAAGTCAGCTGGTCACTGGTGGTTATTGCTGCTGTGGACAGGATTAGCTTCAGAAAAAGTGAACCAGAGACACAGATGTGAAGACAGCCAGATTCCTTCCTATAGCATAGCATGGAGCAAATGACCAGACCACATACTGAGAAGGTCATTTCAACCCTGGAATAAACCTTTACATTGGGGCATGTGTATTTCCCTTGCAATGGCTGCCCTATTATGTGGCAGAATTACTTAATAAATTATTAGTTAACCTTTGGATTAGGGCTTGACTCATGATAGACAAATTTATATACCTGCTGGATGAAGACTATCTTGGGAAAGCATCATTTTCTTTCCATCACCTTTCCTTGAAAATCAGTCTCCAGTTTTGGGTAGGAGGAGCCATGGTGTATGAAATCATTGTAAATTCACTTCAACTTTTCTGGAGTTTGAGGGTGTGACTCTCCTGCTGCCAAATAAATAAAGCTTGTTTTGCCATAACTGTTTTGTGTCCAGATTCTCAAAACTGTGTTTGCTGGTTTCCGGGGAATTAGGCTCTGAGTTCCTCCTTGCTGTGTCCTTGGAAGGTAAACTTTACTCAACACCAGGCTACCTTCCTACCTCAGGCATACACAAACTTCCCCTAACAAACAAATCCCACTTTGTGTTCCTTCTAAGGCAAGAGCTATCTTTTAGCCAAAGCAAGTTGCTGCATCCTTATTTTTAGACTCACTCACATCAGGAAGTCTCAAGTCTGGCTATGTTGGTAATTTTCCCCAGGTATCTTCCACAAAATCCCATTCTCGAGCAAATGTAAGGTCTGTAATAAATAACTAGGAAATGCCTGTGAAATGAATCAAGCATTGCCTTTCTTCATCTGAACTTGTGCAGTGGAAAAAAGTTAATCAAGAATCAAGATTCCAATGCAATGAAAGAGTAAAAAGTCAGTAGACTTAGTGTGAAGAACTTGAGAAAAAATCATTAATGCCCTTCACGCATGTGAGAACTGATTTACATTGTGAGACATATGTCATAGGGTAAAAACAAAACAACTCGATTCAAACAAGAGATCAGATGTGCACATAGATTTCTGTAGGGTAAAAGGAAACCCAGCACACACACAAAAGGTTTAGTTATACCATGGAAGCAATAGAACAGATTAATTAGGAAATGACCAGTGGGGAGGAACTTGTAAGAGATATAATTAACAACAGACCTAAAGGATTCATACTACCACCACACATACTGAAAGCCCTGGGGTTTTATTTGGGGAAAATATAGAAATATCACCTTTCTATAGATGAGAAAGAAAAACTGATTAAAAAGCTAGATTCTGAGTCATTTTTCATGCATTTACATTTCAACTTTAAAGATAAGTTAGCTTAAAGTAAGCTCCCTTTGACACAGAACCCAAATTAGCCTGGAAACAAATCATAGCTCTATTTTCTAATTTTAAAGGGGGAAATTAGACCAGGTGTACCTTCAGGCCCTTTCTGGTATTGACATTCCGTGGTTCTTAATTTTTTCTTTTTAAAGAAACTAGGTATATTTAAATCAATGGAAGATAACATACATTCAGAAGGCAGTTTAAAAATAGGTATAGCGGGGGCACCTGGGTGGCTCAGTCAGTTGGGCATCCAGCTCTTGATCTCAGCTCAGGTCTTGATCTCGGGGTCATGAGTTCAGGCCCTATGTTGGCTCCTTGCTGGGTGTGGAGCCTACTTAAAAAAAAAAAAAAGGTAGGCATCATTAAAGTGAGTTTTTTGTTTTTTTTTAGATTTTATTTATTTGAGAGAGAGAGCATGAGCACGGGGGTGGGGGAGGGGGAGAGGGATAAGAAGACTTCACTGCTGAGCTGGGAGCCCGATATGGGGCTCAATCCCAGGACCTCAGGATCATGACCTGAGCCAAAGGCAGACGCTTGACCGACTGAGCCACCCAGGTGCCCCGAAGTGAGATGTTATTTTTAAACAGAAGGAACACTTAGGTTTTAGAGAAGAATAAAGTGCCCATATTCAAAGCTGATGGCAATGTTTATTTATTTTTTTTAAAGGTTTCATTTATTTATTTGAGAGAGAGAGAGCACAAGCAGGGGCAGAGGGGGAAGCAGACTCCCCACTGAGCAGGGAGCCCGATGTGGGGCTCGATCCCAGGACCCTGAGATCATGACCTGAGCTGAAGACAGACACTTAACCTCACTGATCTACCCAGGCACCCTGGCAATGTTTATTTTAGTTAAATTAGTTGGAAAGGGTTTATATAGAAAGGTAACATCACATGGTTGAAATGAAGGGTTGAGGTCCAAAATTTTCAAAAGTGGTCTTATCCAGTCCCCCTTTCTTTATCTTGTCCCAAGTGCTTGATGGCACACGCGGAGATAGGCCAGTCTAACTGAGCCCGGCAGCAGAGCCAGGGAGACAAATGTCAGGCTCGGAACCCTAGGAATGCCTGGGAAATGAGCAACTGTGTCTATGCATCTTTCTTCATTATCTCTTTGCAACGTCAACTGCTGTTCTACTAAACGCCATGGCACATACATATGGTGCACCCATGCCGTGAATCGACTCTACCCATACAGCCTAGGTCTCACCATGCTCAGTTACAAGCAGAAGTTTATGGCTTTGTGCCAGGCCAAGCAGCTCTCTCGATCATTGATCCATTGAAGCTGCTCAGGGCCCTGTTCTGTTCAATATATTTGTGACCTGAATGAAGGTATAAAGCATATAATTAATTCTACAAATCATCCCCAACTGAGTGGCTACTACTTGATTTGTGGAGATGCACATAAAATATTTTGAGGACTTGGATCATTGAGAAATGATTCTGGATAGCCAGAATGAATTTACCAGTGACAAGTACAAGTCACACTATTTTTTTTTTAAAGATTTTATTTATTTATTTGACAGAGAGAGACACAGCGAGAGAGGGAACATAAGCAGCGGGAATGGGAGAGGGAGGAGCAGGCTTCCCGCAGAGCAGGGAGCCCGATGCGGGGCCCGATCCCAGGACCCTGGGATCACGACCCAAGCTGAAGGCAGATGCTTAATGACTGAGCCACCCAGGCGCCCCCAAGTCACAGTATTAATACAGATAGAAGAAATCGCATGAGCCAGAAATAGCTGTGGGAGAGAGGTGGGAAGCTGGGGGATCAAAATGGACCCGAAGCTAAGTAGAACCCCAAAGTGCAGTTACGGAGAGGAGAAAGAAGCAACGTGGCATTGGGATGTATTAAGATAAATATTGGACGGATGGACAAGAAATGCTTGCACTAAAATACGTAGTCATACACTGAGTGGGTTCTCAGACCCAGGTTTTCGTTTCTAAACTTTTATAAGTGTGGGGGAACCTGGAGAGGAACCCAAGATGAACAATAAAGTCTTTAAAGAACTCTCCTTTGAGGAAAAGCTACGTGATCTGCTTGAGTTGATGCACTGAAGAGTAACTTCAGGAGTATCCACAAAACATAGAAAGGTGTTGGGAAGTTATTTCCACCTTTTTTTCCTCTCAGGTGCTGAGATTTGTAGAGAGAATTGGCCTGGCAGCATCAGCACGAGGGTGATAGCCAACAAGTGGGCAGGTGGTCTCACTTAACTTCTCCGTAGTTACAGGGCGGGATTCTCCTGCTGCCAGTGAAATTAAGCTGCTGTTTTACCTGTAGCTGAGTGCCTTCCATTTTAGTCTTCCTTTTTAGGGCCTGAGGTGCAGGCTTGGTCTTATGCTTTGAGAGCTGGTGTCTCAAACCGAGATCTTTGTAGTCAAGGACTCCGAAGTTGTGGCGTCAAGGAAGTTTCCTGTCTTGTAAGAAGCCTCTCCGGGGACTCTGTCCCCCAGGAAGAGAAGAATCACAGCATCCACACTCTCCAGTCCTGTGTAAACATCATGTGTTTGCATTGGGTTTTTATTTATGATGTGCTTGTGTGTTTTTCTCACCCACATCTGGATGCTGCTCTTCCTGCCCATGGCAGCAATCACCCCTGTTCTCTTGTGTCCTCCCCACCCAGGCCAGTCTCCAGGGCCCTTATGGCTGAGAAGTCCTTAGGGTGAGCTCATTTTAGGGCTGCCTTTTTTGTTCCCATTAAAGGCTGTTTTTGCAGGGTGCCCGGGTGGCTCCGTTGTTAAACATCTGCCTTCGGCTCAGGTCGTGATCCTGGGGTCCTGGGATCAGCCCCGCATCGGGCTCCCTGCTCGGCAGGAAGCCTGCTTCTCCCTCTCCCTCTGCTGTTCCCCTGCTTGTGTGCCCTCTCTCTCTGTGTCGCTCTCTGTGAAATAAATAAATCTTAAAAAAAAAAAAAAGGCTGCCTTTGCAATCTGATGTTCCTCTAGGATCCTCTTTCATGACCTAACTTCTTTAAATTATGATTTTCTTTCAGCTCATCAAGGTGGCCTTGGAGAAGAGCCTGGCAGCCGTGGAGACCCAGAATGCATGTCTTCCCCCTCCTTCCTCAACAGGAGGGGACAGTCACAGAGGTCTTCAGGAGGAAATGCTCCACCTGAGGGCTGAGATCCACCAGCACTTAGAGGAAAAGAGGAGAGCTGAGGGGGAACTGAAGGAGCTAAAGGCTCAAATTGAGGAAGCAGGATTCTCCTCTGTTGCCCACATCAGGTAGGACACCGCCCAGAGGAGAGCCTGCCCATCGAGAGGCCACTGGAGCCAAGGAGTTCACCCCACTGCAGTCAAGGCATTTGTGCTGCTGTAGGGCTTCTTGGTCCACCTGCCAAGCTCCATGCGTTAATGGTTCAAATTCTTTAGAGACAACTCAGTAATACTGGATAATGATGATCATTCAAATGATTTAAATCTGGTCTTAATTCAGTCTAATAGTGCCCATTATTAGCCACATAGTCACGAGTGAAAATCTCCCAGCTGTATGCCAGGTATTGCTCTTTTGCACTGACTGGAACATATTGAGGAAGGTCCTACTGCCCATGATGCTTCACTGCTGCATGTGGAACCAGAATAGTCCATGAGAGAGGAGGATTTATACAGGGGCCCCTTCATCTCCCCTCAGCTCTCTCTTAACAGCATGAATCCCTAAATCATGGAATAGCAATTTTCATCATCTCTGCTGTTTTGTTAACTTTACAAAAGTGGCATATAGTTGATTCATTGGTTAGATTGGCCACTCTGTGTTTGTTTGTTTAAAGATTTTGTTTGTTTATTTGACAGAGAGAGACACAGCGTGAGAGGGAACACAAGCAGGGGGAGTGGGAGAGGGAGAAGCAGGCTTCCCGCGGAGTAGGGAGCCCAATGCGGGGCTCGATCCCAGGACCCTGGGATCATGACCTGAGCTGAAGGCAGACGCTCAATGACTGAGCCACCCAGACTTCCCTGTTTTGTTTTTTTTTTTTATTCATTTATTTGAGAGAGAGACAGACAGAGATAGTGAGGGAACATAGGCGGGGAGGAGAGGGAGAAGTAGACTGCCTGCTGAGCAGGGAGCCTGACACAGGGCTCGATCCCAGGACCCTGGGATCATAACCTTAGCCGAAGGCAGATGCTTTTTTTTTTTTTTTTAAAGATTTTATTTATTCATTTGACAGAGAGAGACAGTGAGAGCAGGAACACAAGCAGGCCTCCCGCTGAGCAGGGAGCCCGATGGGGGACTCAATCCCAGGACCCTGGGATCATGACCTGAGCCGAAGGCAGACGCTTAACGACTGAGCCACCCAGGCGCCCCCGAAGGCAGATGCTTAACCAACTGAGCCACCCTGGCGTCCCTGGCCACTCTGTTTTTAATGGCATTTTTTCAAAAGATGCTTGGAGAACATGCTGATGATGTAGGGCTAATCTGTTCATTCATTCATTCATCCCTGAGGGTCATAATCATTGTGGGCCTGTTGTTTAGAACACAGCAATGCAAGTGTACAATTTCTAACTCATGCCCTATTGTTTCCCTGCCTATTAGGTGCCACTTAAACGTCCCCAAGTCATAGAATAATATTAGCGCTGAAAAGGACCTTGGCATGTAGCCTAATCCTTATTTCACAGTCAAGGAAAGTCCAGTCCAAAAAGTTCTAGCAACTTGCTCAAAGTTGCGTATTAGTCTATGGCTAGACCCCTGCCTCCCAATTTTTAATATCTAAGCCTTTTCTTCTATGCTGTATACTTTGTCGAACAATCTTGGAAATATTCTTGTGATCATCCTTCATGCTGGGTTTTTTTTTTACTCTGAATTATCATGTTTCTTTTTTCTTTTTTTTAAGAGAAAGAGTGAGCGAGAGCATGCATGCAAGGAGGGGGAGGGGTAGAAGGAGAGGGAGAGAGAATCTTAAGCAGGCTCCATGCCTGGCACGGAGCCTGATGTGGGGCTCAATCTCACAACCCTGAGCTCATGACCTGAGCTGAAATCAGGAGTCAGATCTTAACCTACTGAGTCACCCAGGCACTCCCATGATATTTCTTTCTACTGAAGTGAAATTCTACTTAAGTGAAAGCATAAGTTGTTGTTGTTTTTAAACAAGCTCTATGCCCAGCGTGGGGCTTGAACTCACAACCTCAAGATCAAGAGTCGCATGGTCTACTGACTGAGCCAGCCAATTCAGGATTCTAAGACACCCAATCTAGGGAGATACCCACCTGCTAATCCTTCCAGGTGTGAATTACTAGTCTCCCTTGCCTCTTCTAGTCAGCAGTTCTCAATTTAGCATGCTTAAGGATCAGCTGCAGAACTTAAGTAAAATGTAGATCCATAGGTCTTAGCTCTAAAGTTTTTTTGTTTTTTTTTTTTTAACAAGCACCTCATAGGATTCTGATGTTAGTACTTTTCAGGTCTGCAGCTGGTATAGCAGAATAAAATGATCCTCTGCCGCAGATCCTGAGCTGACCAGCCATATATGCAATTTCATTTAAGCATCCAGTGACTCCACTAGGTACGGGTTATCCTTATTTTATATAAAAGGAGACGGAGGCTCAAAGAGGTTAAGTGAACTGTCTATTTAAATGAATTGCCTTGTTAAAGCCATGTTTTTTTGTTTTTTTTTATCACTTCCATCCAACCCTGGTGAAGGGTTTGGTGGGAAGAAAGGATGGAGTCTAGGATGTCTTGGTGAAAATTAGTTGTTTATCCATTTTATTTCTTATACAAATATGAATGTTTTTCGTGGTAGGCACTGTGAAGGCCCTGGGGATACAGGGTGAACAGGGCAGAGAGTCCCTGACCTCATAAAGATGATCTATCACAAGAGCTAGACATAAAGCAAATAATTACAGAAGTACATTTGATTGTAGTTCTGATTGGTATTATTTATTTCTTATTTTCCTAGGTCCCAATTTCTCATCCAGTGGTTGAAAACTGACCAATGATAATTAATAGAATTGTAGAACCCATAATAAATTTGTCCCAGGCAAGGTCTTCCTTATTTTTTTTTCTTAACACTGTAAGTACCCTTGTTTATTCCAGAGGCCACTGAAAATTAGAACATGAGGCTGAGGGGGCATCTGGGTGGCTCAGTCGGTTGAGCTTCTGCCTTTGACTCGGGTCATGATCTCAGGGTTCTGGGATTGAGTCCCGTGTTGGGCTCCCTGCTCAGCGGGGAGCCTGCTTCTCCCTCTCCCTCTGCCTGCCGCTACTTGTGCTCTCTTGCTCTCTCTCTCTAACTCAAATAAATAAAATCTTAAAAAAAAAAAAAAATGAGGCTGAATAACTTGACCAGGTGTGTTGAGTCCAAGATTTTTAGGGATTGTGTTGCCACCAAGTAGCTGTGGTAGTGCGGGCAAGTCTCTCTTCCTGAGTTTTGGTTTCCTTGTCTATAAAATAAGGGAGCCCTTGTTGGTCTCTGAAGTTGCTTCACGTTTTGGGGTGTCTCTGAGTCTCTGCTGGACCGAGATGGGAGCTACAGGAATTGAGGCCGAGAGAGGAGCCAGCCGCTCATTGTGTGTGTGTGTGTGTGTGTGTGTTTCCTGCAGGAACACCATGCTGAGCCTTTGCCTTGAGAATGCAGAGCTGAAAGAGCAGATGGGAGAAGCAATGTCTGATGGATGGGAGATTGAGGAAGACCAGGAGAAGGGCGAGGTGACAGTGGAAACTGTGGTAGCCAGAGGGGGTCTGAATGAGAATAGCCTTCAGGCTGAGTTCAGAAAGCTCCAGGGAAAACTGAAGAATGCTCACAACATCATCAACCTCCTCAAAGAACAGCTGGTGCTGAGCAGCAAGGACGGGAATAGTAAGCTTAGTCCAGAGCTCCTTGCGCCCCTGGCCCGGGAGATCGACAGAATGAACACCGAGCTGGTCGGTTCTCCTGAGAAGCCCCAACACCAAGAAGAGGAGCACGTGACCATAAGGCCCTGCCCCAGACCCCAGAGCCTTGACCTTGGGACTCCCCTCACCGTGGATGGCCACCAAGTAAGTGTGGGATTAGATGGAATGAAAGACCTGTGGAGAAGGGCTGGAGGTAACAGTTCTGCCCCCGTGGGTCAGAAGGGACTGAGACAAGGGCACCTTTGCCCCCCAAGTAGTGGTAATAATGGTCCTCACACGTTCAGCCTTTAGAAAAGTTTTTACAGCATTATCTCGTAAATATTACTTGGGTAATTAATTTTTCATAAATATTTCTTCAGCGCTTAATTTTCCAGATAACGCACCAGGCATTGGGCAGAAGGCAGCAAGCCCTGGTCTCTGCCCCATAAGTACTCGGTACGGTGGGGAAAGATGGCACAAAACAGATCATTTCAATGGGATGCTTATAGGGATGCCTGGGGGTTAAGGCAGCCCAGACAAGTGGTGTGTAATGACATCTGTCCTTATCACTGCCATTTTCGTCACAGCTCATCCCAGGTGTCTGTTCCTGAGCCACAGGAAGGGCTATCGGGGTCCTCGTAAGGGGAGGGGCTCTGCTGAGTATTGAGTAAATGGAGACTATAGAGGATTCGGGGGCGGGGAACAAGGGTGGGGCAGGAGCACAGGGAGAGATGAGGAGAGGTTTCTCCCCCCCTGTTTTCAACCCCTGAACCAGTGTTTACTGAGAGTTTCTCAGTGGACTCTACTGGCACTGTACCATGTGCTGTAGATACAGAGATGAATAAAACATTATCCTAGCTCTGCAGGAGCTCAGAGCTGGAAAGCAAGCCACTACCAAATGGCGTGAGGAATGCTGTAACAAACCCATGAATAAAGTCCACAGGGTTCAGAAAGGGAAGGGGCCGTGACTGCCTGGTCCCTCTGCTGGCTCTTTTCACAGCTGGATAACCGGTCCCAGGCCCGAGACCCTGGGCCTCAGTCAGAATTCAGCCTTCTGGGATCCACCAAGCACCTGCGCTCCCAGCTGGCTCAATGCAGACAACGCTATCAGGATCTCCGGGAGAAGCTGCTGATATCAGAAGCCACGGTCTTTGCCCAGGCCAACCAGCTGGAGAAATACAGAGTCATGCTTAGTAAGTCTTAGGTTCACCATCACCAGGGCGTCTGTCTTCTCACTGAGAAGCTACATGCTTTGCAGACTTCCCTTTTCTTCCCCAGCCTCAAAACAAATTTAATCCTGACCAGGGTCCTAGAACTGTGGAAATGGATATTTAACTTCAGTTTTTGCACCTGGCAGAGAAGAATAAAGAACAAAGCAAGTTTGCAGTGAGCATATAGGGAGGAAATGGGCTAACATCTAGGTTTGCTGATTTCTGGTATAGTCAGCAAAATGCTTTACGTCTCTCAACATATACTGATGGTTTCTCTCTTCCTCTTGGCACCAAATCCTATTCTTCAAAAATACATCCTCACCATTGGTTTAGAATCCATGCTTTTGAGTCAGAGGGGGAGACGAACCATGAGAGATGATGGACTCTGAAAAACAAACTGAGGGTTCTAGAGGGTAGGGGGGTGGGGGGATGGGTTAGCCTGGTGATGGGTATTGAGGAGGGCACGTTTTGCATGGTGCACTGGGTGTTATGAACAAACAATGAATCATGGAACACTGCATCAAAAACTAATGATGTAATATATGGTGATTAACATAACAATAAAAAAAATTAAAAAAAAAATCCATGCTTTTGAATAGAACTTCCTGCGGTGATGGAAATGCTTATGAAGCACGTGAAATGTGGCTAGTTCAACTTGGGAGTTTTATCTAATTTTAATTAATTTAAAATGAAGTAGTCACATTTGGCTAGTAGCTATCTTATAGAACCGTATGGATCTCGATGTTTTAGGACTCTAAATTAGTTCAGCTCCATTCACGTGTTTACTGAGCCTCTGTGGATAAAGCCCTTGCTAGTTTCACTGGGGCTTCTAGGGATGATAATATATATAATACCCAACTTAAAGATGTCTGGTCCCCACAAAACCTCAGTTGTTGTAGTGAGATCATCAGTGACAAACATGGGCTCATCGTGGTGGAAGAAGTCCTGTCTGGAGTGGGTGGTCTCTTCTCCCACTTGAGTCCAAAGAAGCATCCATCCCACTCTGCCTTTGACCTCCCTGCCCCCTGAGGGCTAAGGCATGTGCCACTGAGGTTGAGGGGGTATGTGGGACCTTCAGAGCCTCTGTGACACCCCTCTGTCTCTTCCTGAGCAGGTGAATCCTTGGTGAAGCAGGACAGCAAGCAGGTGCAAGTGGACCTCCAGGATCTGGGCTATGAGACCTGCGGCCGAAGCGAGAATGAGGCTGAGCGGGAGGAGAGCACCAGTCCCGGTAGGAACACAAGGGCAGGGCTCACCTGGCCTCCCTGGAGTCGGCCTTCATATCCAGCAGCTGCTGGCCAGTCCCACACCTGAAGAGGAGTAGGGCTGAGGGGTTATTGTAGACTGAAGGGGACCCAGGACCAGTGAGGCACGGGAAGCTTGGCAGAGAACTCTTGTCCAACACGAGGCTGAGTATGAGTTGGAACGTCTCTAATTAGTTTTCAACATACTGCTGTTAATTAAAAGAAGAAAAGTTTTATCCAACAGATGATCATCTAAGGCTGACTTTTTAATGAAGAGACCAGATGAGCTTTTGCAGATATGCAAACCCTAAGCTAAAAAACCTGTTTTTCCGTCATAGAAGGCCTTTGACTGTAGGGACATCCACCAAACTGAAATGGAGAAAAGAGAAAACACTTAGTGCAGTAGAAGGTGACTGTACCTGACCTGCAGGGCTGTTGAGGGGATAAGAAATACCATGTTTGAACGCTAGTAAAGCACGGGGCTGAATAAAGTAACCACCTCAACTTCTGCTCTAGTAATTCCTATCCCCAGCACCAAAGCTACCTCCAGCTACAGCGGCAGGAGAGGTGTAGCTTTATTCAGGAAGATGTCTTTGTCTTTTCTCAGAGTGTGAGGAGCACGACAGCCTCGGGGAAACAGCCCTGGTGGAGGGGCGCCTGGGCTCACCAGCGGCCAGCCCCCCGGGCACGAAGCCCTTGGAGAGCCCTCGAGGGAAGCAGGAGGAGTTCCAGGCATCTGGAAAGTCGGAAGACATCTCTGTCCTACAAAAGGACATCAGAGACCTGAAGGCCCAGCTGCAGAATGCCAACAAGATCATTCAAAACCTCAAGAGCCGGGTCCGGTCCCTCTCGGTTACAAGTGACTATTCATCTAGTCTGGAGAGACCACGAAAGCTGAAGGCCATTGGCACCCTCCAGGGATCTTCACCTCATAGTGTCACTGACGAGGATGAGGGGTGGCTGTCTGATGGCACTGGAGCTTTCTACCCCCCGGGGCTTCAGGCTAAAAAGGATCTGGAGAGTCTGATCCAGAGAGTGTCCCAGCTGGAGGCCCAGCTCCTGAAAACTGGAGTGGAAGGGAAGCTGGCAGAGGAGCTGAGATCAGCCTCATGGCCTGGGTAAGGGGGGCACTCTTTGGACCCTTATTTGGTTGGTGACGTCTAAGTTTGTGTTGGAGGTGAGCTAGCCCAGGCAGGTAGAAGAGAGAACCCATCGGGGCGATCAGAAGAGCGCCTACTTAAATGCTAGGCCTAGGGGCACCTGGGTGGCTCAGTTGGTTAAGTGACTGCCTTCGGCTCAGGTCATGATCCTGGAGTCCCGGGATCCAGTCCCGCATCGGGCTCCCTGCTCAGCGGGGAGCCTGCTTCTCCCTCTGACCCTCCCCCCCTCATGTACTCTCTCTCTCTCTCTCTCTCTCATTCTCACTCTCTCAAAATAAATAAATAAATCTTTAAAAAAAATAAATAAATGCTAGGCCTAGATCCGAAGAAAGGTCAGTAGGCCCTGCTGGGAGACACCAGTCTCTGGGATTTCCTCTCAGGAATCTATTAGTAAAGCCACCGGATATGTGGTGTAGCAGGAAGACTGGAGCCAGACTGCCTGGGTCTGAATCCTGAATCCTAGCTCTGGCACTTTCTAGCCATACAACTTACTTAGACTCTCTGGGCCTCTTTCCTTACCTATTAAACGAGGAGGGTAAGAGAACCTATCTCAGTGGGTGGTTTATTGGATTTAAGTGAATTAGTACAAGTGCTTATAATTGCCTAACATACATTCAGCTCTCAGTACTACTTACATAACTGTTACTGTTACTGATACTTTGTGTTGAAAAACACTGGGTAGACTTCTATCTGGGTCTCTGTCCTTGTTATCTCTACTGAGTATCAAACCATCCAAAACCTTAGTGGCCTCAAACAATAATTTACGTGGATTGACGGGGCCCGGCAGGATGGCTCTCGCTTGGGGGGTGGGGTCTCTCCTGGGACTGCCATCCGATGGTGGCTGGCGCTGGACATAGCTTCTTCCTTCACGCGTCTGGAGATGTGGTGCTCCTTGGCTTCTCTCTTTCCCCCGTGGCTTCTTGTCTTCCAGGGTCTTTCTTCCTGGGATGGGCCTCTCATGGGATGGTGGTCTCAGGGTAGTTCTACTTCTACATGACAGCTGGCTTCCAACAGACAGGAAGTAGATGTTGCCAGGACAGTTAAGAGCTACTCCCTTTCTTCGCACAGTGTCACTCCCATCATTATCTCGGTCACAGTGGTCACAGAGCTTGCCCACATTTAAGGAGGTGGAGAATAGCTTCTACCTGCTAATGAGAGAAGGGGCAAAGGCACATTGCGAAACATCGTGTGGCACAGGAACTTGCGTAGCGGTCATCTTGGCAAAATACAGTCTGCCGTAATATAGATGGTCTTCCAAATAGAAGGCATTAAAGAGCCTATCTAGACTTAGGATTAAGTGATTCTTCCCCCCCCCCCCGCCCAAGTTCATGTATTTATTTATTTTACGTAATCTCTCCACCCAACGTGGGGCTTGAACTCCTGACCCTGATACCAAGAGTCGCGTGCTCTTCCAACTGAGCCAGCCAGGTGTCCCAGGATTGATTCTAATCACTGAATTTATTTTTATTTATTGTGTTTATTGAGTACTCAGTAAATACATTTAGTGTTTCTTGAGTATCAACTGTGAATCTACACTCTACTAGTCCTGTGAGGAATGTAAAATTTGGCACTGTATTTACCTCCACAGGACTTAGGATTCTCCTGGATGTCTGACTAACATATACAAAACAGTGTAAGAGCAATGACACACTAAATTGATGTCATGTATTAGAGTGGGATTTACTCTTAAATACCTTCTTTGGTCTCTGTGCCAGAATTCAGCCTGGGGGAGCTCCTTAGAGATGTTCCCACGAAAATCTCTACCGAAGGCCCATAATTTAACATTCACTCGTTTTCATTCTTACTTTTTCCTCTTGTTTCCTGTATTAGGAAATATGATTCCCTGATTCAGGATCAGGCCCGAGAGCTGTCATACCTACGCCAGAAGATACGAGAAGGGAGAGGTATCTGTTATCTTCTCACCCAGCATGCAAAAGATACAGTAAAATCTTTTGAGGACCTTCTTAGGAGCAATGACATTGACTACTACCTGGGGCAGAGCTTCCGGGAGCAGCTTGCCCAGGGAAGCCAGCTGACAGAGAGGCTTACCAGCAAACTCAGCACCAGTAAGTTGGCCCCACAGAGCTTTGGCACACACTCGGTCACTCGCACAGCCCCAGGCCCAGGTGGCCACCACAGCTCCAGCACGGCCTTTTAACCCAGGGTCCTGCTTCCACTTCATTTCCTGGGGCCATTACAGGATCAGGACTGGGGAGCATTGAGGAGGGACACAGGGTTGGGGAGGTCATGATTGCAGCGGCAGAAACTGGTGCACTTGTGGCAAGTGGCCTTCAGGGAGGCCGGCTGTGTCCACCCAGTGCTAAGGGGGAGAAAGGGAGAAGAGGTCGGAGGACCTTATCATGGTGAAAAGAGCCTGACCTGAGAATCGCAAGACCCGAGCGGTGGCCTAGATGCCGCCATTAGCTTGCTCTGGGCAATGGCTTAGCCTTTCAGTGTTTGTCTCTTTGTTTATTGCGTGGTGTCATACATGAATATAATCCCAATATGGGTAAAGCACCCTTCCTTTGGACATGATTTGGACATTGAATGTCATAGTGCAAGGGCCAGGAATATTGGTTATTATTGGAGCTCTTTACTTAGAAAACATTTCCTGAGAGTACCCGAAGGCAGGATCAGTCTTGGGGGCCAGCCATCCCACATGCTGGTGGCAGGTGCAGAGGTGGGGCAGGGCGTTTGTCATTTCCTCAGAGCAAGAGTGGGTTCTACATGAATGCGGTGATGGGACACAGAGCATGCACCTGGGAGTCAGTCTGTGGCAGGCTTGGAAGCTGGAATGTTCCAGAGAGAAGCTAGGCAAGTGCCTTTTAAACTTCTTTGCATTGATTTAGGGCAGAGGAAGTCATGATGCTGATCACCCAGTCAGGGGAGGTCTGCTGGTGAGCTCAAGAGAGCCTACAGGTCTCCCCTCTGAGGATACAGTCTGCAGCCTTCCCAAGTAATTCTCCTACATGTCCTGGACGTACACAGAGGAGTTACCGTTCTGTACCCACAGAGGCTCTTGCGTTTATAATGTGGGAAGTGGGACTGGTTTAATTTCTTACCATTTCTTTCTGATTTTGGCTTACAGAGGATCATAAAAGTGAGAAAGATCAAGCTGGAATTGAACCGCTGGCTCTCAGGTAATTTGAAATAGCATCTGGTAAAGGAATCAGGAACAAGGCCCAAGGGGTCCAGGGTGACTGTAACTTTACAAATGAGGGCAGGGAAATGTGGATTATAATGAATTCATTTATTCGTAAAACACCTCAGCCTAATTCTTTACTCTCTTTTGCTGTAATTCTGTTGATTTCTATTTGCGTATTTATTCTCCAGGCTTGGTAACCTAGAGTCAGTCTGACCCAACAGTAAACTAACCAGGTTCCAGGGGTCCTTGGCACCCCCAAGGTTCTCCTCTGCTTTCTTCCTTTGTGCTACTAAGTTGGCTTACCCTGAGTTGAGTTGGCAGCTAGTTTAATAATCGTCCAATTTCCCTGGGGGGCAAGGGGGTAGGAAGAATCAAAGAACCACAGTACAGTTCCTAGGAGGGGAAAGGCCTGGATGTTGCAGATGCCTGGGGGGCTACACAGCGTCTCAGGAACCAGTTTTCAATGAGTCACTGCATCTAATCTTATCACATGCGGTAAAATATGGGCTCAGAATCCACTGTAGCCCCTAGTTCAAACCCCTCTGTGTTGGAAGTGTGCTTTAGACCACATAGTGCTTCTCCGAATACTGTGGTGAAGAGCAAAGTGTTTTGGTTTTGTTTCCATTTCCAGTCCATCACAGACACATACATGGACTGTACCCTCAGTCAACCAGATGATTCCGCACATCCTGCTCTTGGTTGTCAGTGGCAATGCCAAGCTGCTGTATGTTTCTCACTGCTTACCTTCAGTTACTGTACTTATCTTCTTGGAGACTGGTAACCAACAGTTCTTGGACTGCAGCTCTGCTGGGGCCACACTTGGAGCAGCTGTGCCTCAGAGGGCTGGCTGAGTCTCCACTAGTTCCCAGCATCGCCCGTGCCCAGTGCCCTGGGTGGCGACTGCACCTCCTCCTCCCTCTGCACCCCACCTACCCTCCGCCCCTAATCAGCGATAGATTGTTTTGATCATCCTTTGCAGGAATGTTTCCCTTGACTTCTGTGGCTTTTCCCGTGTACCTCAGTCAGGACCAGTTGGTCCGGTGACCTTGGCTTCACCTGTTGTCCCCCTTCACCCCACTAGGCTCAGCAGGGAGCTGCAGGAGAAGGAGAAAGTGATTGAAGTCCTACAGGCCAAGCTGGATGCCCGGTGCCTCACGCCCTCCAGCAGCCATGCCTTGTCGGACTCCCAGCGCTCTCCCAGCAGCTCCTCCTTCCTGTCTGATGAGCTGGAAGCCTGCTCTGACATGGATGTAGCCAGCGAGTACACACACTATGAAGAGAAGAAGGCTCTGCCTGGTCACTCAGGTAGCCCCCACTGTCGGAGCGGTACCACTTTTCTCTAGGTGGAGAGGAGACGTCCATAGCCAGACCTTGTAGATCCATCTTGGTGTATATCAGGCTTGAACGTGGCTGTGGGACCCAGCACCAAGCACAGGCCCCAGTGGCTCAGGATCTTTGCTCTGCTCCTGACTCTGCAAGGTGTCACTGGGTCTCCTCTGGATGTGCATGCTGGTAGACCCAAGGGGAGCCACGGTGGGAAGAGTGAGAAGGTCCTAGCAGACTTTTCTTCCCTGCTGCCTCATGAGCACAGACTGTCTGACTGACCTCCTTCTTAAAACGGGACATCTTCTCCCTCCTGCAGTGGTCCTGCTCACTGCGTGTCCTGAGCCAGTACCCCCTGAGTATCTGTCAGTGGTCGCAGATGCTGTTGGTCCCGCCTGGTATTTTTGGAAACGCCATTTTCACGGTTTCCGGGTCTGGGCCCCACTCTCACCTCAAAGGTAGTTTGCCTCACTCAAGAAGCTCTCTGCAAGCAAAGAAATGAACACTGCTCACAGTGCTTGTGCTTGGTGCTTTCCCAGAAAGCACGGCTCTGCCTTGGTACCCCTGGCTAAATATAAGGCCAGATTCCAGTTCTTTGTTGACCACCCAACATTTTCTTTCATTCATGGGTTTTGTAGATTCCATCCATCATTCGAGTCATTCCGCTGTCCTGTCTCCTAAGCCATCAGCAACCAGTGCACCTCGGGGGGTTAAGGCCGAACCCAGCAGCAACCCCATCAGCTTGCCAGCTCCCCAGAACCCCCCCCCGGAGGCCAGCCAGGCCCATCCAGGTATGCGACAGCCAACATGGCAGGAGCTCTGTCTCCTCTCTCTCAGCAGCCTGTATGACTTTTCTTCAGGGACGAATGTTTCCCCTGTCAGGGGCTTCTATGCATCAACCCCTAGACGAAATCAAAAGGCCATCCTAGTTCACCAGTTGTGTCTGCATTTTCTTTGTTTTAAATATTTTAGACAAATCAGAGATCTGCAACAGACTTTGATCTGCATACCAATTTTGACCAGGAGTTGGTGAATCATTTTAAAGTAAACATTTTCCTTTGTTTCTTTCATTTCACTCTGGGGAGCAAAGAGGCAAAATGTTTCTCCCAGGATTATAGTAGCCACAGAACAAAAAGAAAGTCACTCCTACTGCTCGCCTGTAGGCATTACCCATTTTATCTGTGTGGTGAGCCTCTGCAGCAGCTCAGGATGCTTCAGTGTTCTACAAGATGCTGTTCACGTTGTTGTAATGCAATTACATATGATCATTCATGGATTTATGAATAGCTGGGCAGCCCTTGATATGTACATAGTGCGTATCCTGCAGCCAATTGGAGGGGTACATTTCATTTGCCTGCCCCAACCTAATCGCCAGGGAGTGTGCTGTTCAGTTAGAGCCCTGCACCAGTGATGGCAGGGCAAAGGCAAACTTTGTCCTCGCCTCCTACCTCTTGCCACCACTGGCTGGCTGCCTTCAGTGTGGTTGGTGGTAAGGTGCCTGCAGAAAGCAAAGTGCTTTCCTTCTGCTGCCCCCGTCTCTCCAGAGAACAAGTCAACCAACATCTTAAGAAGGGGGTGTGTCTGACTCTGAGCTGGGGTTTAAAGTTTCTGGGCCACAGTAGGCAGCTGCTGGCCCAGGAAGTCATGGGGAAAAGCTATTTGCCTAGCACTATAGACATATCTGTAAATGCTTTGGGGTCAAACAGAGCAGAAGGCCAGGGGTTTTAAAATCAGAACACTTCCCTGAAGGATGCCTGGCCTATGTTGCTTGGCAACGTGGGGGTCCTTGCAGCGCTGTTCTGTGAGCGTGTCAGCATCCCGGGGTGAGGGATGTGATTAGAATGTATTCATTGTCTTTTACGGGAGGCATTCTCCGCAGGCCAGTCTTGGTTTCTGCTCCCTCCATAGGCTACCTGCCATATAACTGTTTTTAGGAAAGAGGAGACAGATTCAAACATCAGAACATCCCAGGGTCCCTAAAGACCTGTCCGTAGATGGCCTGCATCATGGTCATCTGTGAAGATTTATTTTAAATGCAAATTTCCAAGCCCTCCTCCCAAAGTTTGTGACTTAGTAGATCAGGGCCTGAAGAATCTGCATGTATTAAGAATTTTTCCTAAGTGATTTGAACGCCCAGACAGGCATGCAAGCTACTGTGTCTGAGTCACTTCACCAAGACCTTTATTTTTCATTTGGTGAATGAACCCATGGATTTGCAATTCTGAGGTTTGTTTCCATGAGATTCTTGAATTACATGCGTGAGGAATGCACATTTCCCCGCAGTCCTAGCCACTCCTGCCCTCCTCAGGGTGAGCCCGCATGCTGTCAGAGGGGTTCTAGGTGTAGGGAGTCTTGTCAGAGGGGCAAGGACCGACTCATGCCCAGGGGGGCTTGGGAGCATCGAGGCACAGCCGTCCTGACCTATCCGTGCCTGGGATAGCTGCTTGGGGTACAGTTATGCCACCATGCCTTAGAATATGTATGCCGGATATCCCTGGCAAGGGAGAAGGCGGAGGGGTCAGCTAACACTGGGTAACAATGCTTGCCCTTCGCCTTGTCAGCCCCACCATGCTGAATAATAGCCACCCCCCAGGGAGACATCTGGACAAGAAATAGTTTCATCTTCTCCATCTTTTCCCCATTCCTTTCTCTCACTTTCTTTCTAATGACGTGTCCCCTTTCTTCCCAACTCTGTGTTTCTAGGCCTTCATTTTCCCTCCATACCCACGCTGGTTAGCCTTCCCCAGGCACCAATGCCCTCAGCTCCACCCAGCTTCCTGCCTTTCAGCCCCACTGGCCCTCCCCTCCTTGGCTGCTGTGAGACACCCATGGTCTCCTTGGCAGAGGCTCAGCAGGAGCTGCAGATGCTGCAGAAACAGTTGGGAGAAAGTGAGCACTTCCTGCTGCACGTGTGTGCTTGGGCATGGCAGCCCCACCCTGTGTGGCTCTGCATGGCTTCGGCTTGGTGGCAGAGTTTTAAAAACGACATGGGGTGTGCACACCGCCAGGGGATGATTGACGGATGGCCCTGCTTGCTTTTTTTGGAAATATATTTACTGTTGTCTTTCTGGTGTGTGTGTGTCTCATCGGTTCCTCAGGCCCTAGACCTGCTCCTTTCCCACTGCTGACAGTGTGGGTTGCCACCAAGTATGCTGAAGGCCTGACACGCCGGTGACGTGTTTGTGGGCAGGGCAGGGTACAGGTGAGAGCTTCTGGGCCTTGCCTATGCGAGACAAAGTGGCCACTTTTCCGGGAATCCTTTCCATCCCTGTGATATTCTCCTGCTGTGAAAAAACGCTCTTTATCCAGTTCAGATCCTGACCTCATCAGGTTGAGGATTCAGGTGACTAAGCCTCTCTTCCTACAGCGCAAGGGTCACTTACCCCTGGACAGGTGACACGGGGATGGCTGGAACTGGAAGTACGGGCTGTGCTACCTGATTGTAAATTCCGTCCTCTGACTTTCCAGAGATCACTGATCGTGTCAGTGACGGACTATGTACAGTCATCTTTTTGGAATATATGTCGGAGCTGGATGCCTCATCATAAAAACTGTGTGTGTGATCAATTATAGCTTAGAAAAAAATAAAACCCTCACATGAGGAATTTGCTCTCTAGTAATGCTTAAAAAAAAAAAAAAAAAAAACCTAAAAATCAGTTTGATGTTACCTTAAAACCACATTCTGTGCCTTTGGGAAAAAAAAAAAAAAAACTACTCAGGCGAGCCAAAGACTGATGGTAAGGGTCACCAGGCACAATGTCCAGTGACCTAGGACCACAGCCAAGAGTTCACATACCTGAAGCCCCCGTTGTCATTTACCCCAGCTTATTTCTTTTGTCACCCCTGAAAATGAATACACTGTCTAGTCTACTCTGTCCTAGTTTGATTCCCAGAACCAGTTAGATGAGACCCTTTTTAGGACAGTTTGTACATCTTCCATTTTTGCAGGCAGTGAAGTCTAGAAGACTGCCTCTTGCGTATCAGAGCTTTCGCAGGTGTAGCAATCTAGGCTTACCCAGCAGCACGAACCTGGTCTCACCTGAGCCTCACGCCACTTGTGTGATAGGTAGAGCCTGAGCAGGGAACTAAGTCCCAGGGAAGTGGAGCTACTTGTTGAAAGTTACTAGTAAGAGGGAGAGATGGGCTTGAATCTGGGTCTTCTGCTCCCAGGCCTGTGTTTCCATGATACTTTCTCTGTCTAGATGGTTTTGTTACCATCCTGCTCCGAGCTAAGCTCAACAAATTCTGAAAGCCCCTTGTAACAATCTTTTCTCTTTCTCTTTAGAGATCAGTAGAAGGTTCTGATGTCTCTGACCTAGAACTTATTATTTGAGCAATTCTGGAACCAACAGTTGATGGAGAACAAATTTGTCCCATATCAAAATGGCAAGAGTGTGCTCTATCTTACTTTTCCTTTACCTTTCCATATTTGTGATGCCTTTGTCCAAAAGGAAAGACAGAAGGAGATATCTGTGCATGAAAAAGGGTCTGGGTATGATATGGGTTGAAGTCCTATCTAGTCTGAGCCACTGACCAGAGTTTGGATGGTCCCAGCTTTGGTGAACAAGATTATAGCCCTGTCTTGTCTGTCCGTCCTGAAGCACAGTCCTCTCTGAGGAACTACAGCTTACCGGCGTTCCTTGTTTGCTTTGAACCAAGCTTCCACGTGGACAGTGGTGCATGGCGGCTTCTTAGGTAACTGTGGGGCAAAGATCTCCTTGTGCTAGAGTCTGTCTGGTGTCTTTGCATGGTTCAGGGCATGTGCTCTCTGTTGTGTGGCCAGGGCAAACTGGGAACATGAGAATACTGATCGCTGTTACTGATAGACTTGGAACCTTCTACGACTTTGGTTAAAAAGTAAGCTATCGAGAGCCCCTGATTTCCCCCTTTGCCTTGTGTTGGGCTGGGGAGGAAGGGGGTGTGAAAGAGGTAGGAAATAACATCTTTACTGAATCCCAACTAAAATTTAGATGCTGAGGGGCACGTGGGTAGCTCAGGTGGTTAGGCATCCGATTCTTGATCGCAGCTCAGGTCTTGATCTCAGGGTCGGGAGTTCAAGCCTCACCTTGGGCTCCACGCTGGGCATGGAGCCTACTTAAAAAAAAATTCAGATGCTGACATTTTTCATCCCCCTCTTTAACTCCCAATGATCCTAATGAACATTTAGTATTTTGCAAATTGGGGAAGGAGAGACCCATGACAGTATTTCTCAAATTTTGCTGCCTATTTGAATCACCTGGGATGATTTTAAAACATCCAGTGCCCAAGCTATACCCCCAGTTAAGGCAAAATCTCTCGGAGGTCCAGGCATCAGTATATGTTTGCTTACATTTTCCAAGGTGATTCTAGTATATAGCCAGATTTGAGAACCAGTTACAAATGGAGATAAAAATTGACAAGTGCCAATTGCATTATCCCCTCAGAGGAGTTTGGCTTGGTTGGAGGGAATGATGACCTCTTCCTCTGTGCTTAGGTCGAGCTACCTGTTTACTCTGCTGCGCATGCTGATAATCCCTGAAAGAAAGCAGTCTTCTGAATATGAATATCCTAAACTACAGTCCTGCCCACCTCTCTGTGTCTCTCCCACGGGCTGAACTTCTTTTTACATAGAAGCAGAGATGATCTGGCTCAGGGGAAGGCCCGTGATTTCCTAAGATCTATGAAAGTGTCAGCCTAAGTTAAATGAAAGGTCCTACATCCCTCCATGGATGCTAGCACTGAGCACATCTGTGAATAGGAATGTGCTATATCCCCTGAAACGAGGACTGAGTTCTCTTTCTGGAACTTTCCTGGACTCTATCAGGAGGAATTATAGTAGAAGGCAGGAGTGGGGCCACTGGACTTTTCCTTTGTGTACACCGGTGACTTTCAGCTACTTTATCCATCCTCTGCCTCTTGGTGTCTCATGCCAGCAAATACATGGGGTGAAAGCTACAGCCTATAGGTTATGGTCTTCATCTAATTGGTATTCTGCAATGGACTGGGATCTCCGACATCGCGCATGTCCCCTTTAGTGTCCATTCTTAACAACCCCACACTTCTTGGCTGGCCCTGCCCTTCTAATCCTCTCTTCCTCACTCCGGTTTCTTTCTGCCCAGGTGTCAGCACCGGCCACCCTGCTTCCCCAGCTGCATTGCCAAGCAACCATTTAGAAGCCAGTTCTTCCCACTATCTCAACGCCGCCCAGCCCCACTCTCCTCTGAGGGGCAGCACAGAACTGGGCAGAAGCCTGGAGCCCAGCTACCTGGGCAGCAGCAGCCAGTGGGATGTGATGAGGCCTCAGAAAGGGAGTGTATCAGGCGACCGGTCCTCAGGATCCTCTGTGTGTCAGCTTAACTCCAAACCCACAGGTGAAACACAAAGCCGGGCAGGTCAGCCTGTGAAATGCAATCTCATTTAGAGTCTACCCCTCTCCTACCTGGGCAGGGGCATTTTTCATTTCTCTAGTCCCCAGCTCACACAGTGGGGGTAAAATGAAAGGGTCCTATCCGTGCTGGACCTTTCTAAGTGCCCCCATTTGGCCTCCCTGCCCAGGGCCTCACTGCCGTTCAGGGGACTGGGAAAGTCAGGGACCCGATTGTGCTCTCACGTTCATGTCATTAACCACATAGGAGAAGTTTATATTCATGGACTTTTTCCTCATGCCTCCTCTCTGAGGCTGGAGGAAGTGCTTGATGCCTCGTTAAAGAATGTTCAGTCAAGAATCAGTCAGAGGAACGGTATCAGGGTAGAGTGAGGTCTTCCCTAACACACTCAGGAGAGAAAGTCACACTCAGGTCACCACACCTTTCCAGATACTTCAGTTATTTTTCTAAACCATATGGAACTCCCTCACACTCACCAGTTACACTGGTCACTGCACACTTTTATTTAAAACTCCGTCACACTTTGGGGTGCCTGGGTGGCTCAGTCGGTTAAGCATCTGCCTTCGGCTCAGGTCATGATCTCAGGGTCCTGGGATTAAGTCCCCCATCGGACTCCCTGCTCAGCGGGGAGCCTGCTTCTCCCTCTCCCTCAGCCCCTCCCCTCACCCCCGCTCATGCGCTCGCTCGCGCGCTCTCTCTCTCTCTCTCTCAAATAAATAAATAAATTTTAAAACTCCGTCACACTTACTGTGTGTAGGAGGAGGCCACGGGGGCATGCTTCGCGCTGGGCTGTCCTGGGTTTGAGAGCCAGTTTACTCTTTAAGTGAAGTCACTGTGTTCCTGAGTGCCCACGTGAGAGAATGCAGTTGGTGGAAGGATGGGGATGTTCAGGGATCCTGCTGAGGAGCCACTGGCCGAGCCCCATCCCCACCTGGGCCCCACTGGTGACCAGGATTCCCTATCTCCCACCTCCTTCGTGTCCTGGCGGGATGGCTGCAGGGGCTGACCTGCTAGAAGAACATCTTGGTGAGATCCGGAACCTGCGCCAGCGTCTGGAGGAGTCCATCTGCATCAATGACCGCCTCCGGGAGCAGCTCGAACACCGGCTCAGCTGTGCAGCCCGTGGGAACGGTAGGAGAGGCCCAGAGCCCGCCACTTCTGTCACGACTGGGGAACTTCTGAAGGGAAGGCCCTTAGGCTGAGCGGCACGTTTTTCAAAGCACCTGCTAGGCTTTCCTCTACTTGCTCCTTCCACACAGCCCGGCAAGGCGGGTGGGGCAGGTCCTCTAATCCTCACTTTGTAGATAGACTGTAGCGAAGAGAGAACTTTACTCCTGGCAGAACTAACAAGGTGTGTCCGCAGAGTGTCTGACTTCTCATCCCATCCTTAATCTGCTCGTATAAGTGCCTGCTGACCTCTCCGTGCCTTGTCGTGGGATCGGCAGGTGGTAGAGCCAGGTCAGCGGGCGCCCTCCCCCAGCCACTCGCCGAGGTGGCCTTTCTCCCGACACTGTCCTCTCAGGCTGCTGTCGCTTGGAGGCCGTTCCCCGTACACGCCCTTGTCCTGCCCGCAGCACACCTGCTGCTATTGCGGGGCAAGAGCCCCTGGAACCGTTGCAGCTAGGGCACGTGGTGGGGCCCGCACAGAACCCACGGGTAGGAGGCCCACAGAAACCAGGCACTCGGCCCACCAGGCTTGGGGGTCAGGCCTCGAGTACCCCCAGGCACTCCTGCTGGGTTGGAACAGTATTTCTGCAGGTACAGGACGGGTGGCTTCTTGAAAGCATCTGTTACCCAAATGTGTAACGTGTCTGCCCGCACTTCCTGGGACAGGATCCACCTCTAATTTCTACAGTCCTGGCCTGGAACCCACACCTCAGCTCTACAACGAGAACAGAGTCCTTAAGGAAGAAAACCGGAGCCTTCAGGCTCAGCTGAGTCATGTTTCCAGAGGTGGGTGGTAAAAGCCACACACTGTGCTCATTCCGGGTCCCTTTCCTCCTGGCCACACCAATCACCCCTTGAAGTCAAGAGAAGAAGGTGGATATAACAGCCAACCAGATCTGCCAACCCAAAGTCCCATGGCTGTTCTCAGTCTAGAAGGGGCTACTTCCTGAGAGGTCCCAACCATGGGCCCTCATGCTCCAAGGCTCTAGGGAGAAAGATAGCTCTAGGAAATCCACCACCTCTGTGCAACCCATAGACGTTCAGATATTCAGTCATTAGTTATGAAACTGGATACCAGTTAGGTGTCTGTTCTACTTGCCCAGACTTTACCACAGCCTCGTGTGTCTCCCCCAGTACTGAGCTGCCATCCCCGTCTCCCACTACCTTCCCTCCCTTACCCACTCTGGGCTCCTCTCTGCTTAGGGATCCTCAGGACTGTGTGTCTGGAGGCACCAGCCAAATGTCCTCCAGAGCGTTCCCAGCACTATTTGATGGGCATCCAAGGGGGGAGGGGGTATCATTTCCTCTGGGACCTGGGAGCAGCTGACCTTAGTGTCAGTTGACTTGATCAAATCAATATATGATCAATAACAAATTATATTTATCTGCAAATATTTATTGACTAGCCATAAAAGACTAATAGTTTCCTAAAGGATTAAGCCCAGAATGAAAGAATGCTTGTGGAACAGGAAGAGAGACATCAAGTCATATTTCTAAATTTGCCTCTCCAGAGCAGGAAGATGTGAGGGGAAAAGGTCACTGATGGGGAAGTAATGAGAGGTCACAGATAAGAGAGAAGGCACAGCTGCTAAACCCCCATTGCAGCCGGGACAGACTAGCACAGACCTCCCAGGGGAGAAGACACTAAGATGTGAATAGGCGCAGTCGGCCAGGCCCGGGGCCTCCCCTCGGACGACTGACAGCACCTGCAGCCCGATTCTCAGAGTCCCTGTCCATAGTCTCTGAGAAACCGTGCAGATCATTGGGATGCCACAAGCCCAGAAAAGAACAGATGTCCCCATTTTCAAATTGACGAGTATAATATATTCTAAAAACCGTAGACAAGAAATCTTGATGTTGGTCTTTGGCAAAATTCAAGAATGGATTATCACACAGAGGGTGTGTGAACTTAGAAAATAGTGAGCATTAGAAACCACAGCGTTTTGGGCGCCTGGGTGGCTCGTCGGTTAAGCATCTGCCTTTGCTTCAGGTCATGGTCCCAGGGTCCTGGGATCGAGCCCCCATGTCAGGTTCCCTGCTCAGCGGGGAGTCTGCTTCTCCCTCTCCCTCTGCCTCCTCCCCACTGCTCCTGCTCTGTCTCTCAAATAAATAAATAAAATCTTAGAAAGGAAGGGAGGAAGGAAGAAGGGAAGAAAGAAGGAAGGGAAGAAAGAAAGACCACAGCATTTTCTCTAAAAGCAGGGTAGACCTTGTAGACCTTATGAAATCAGAAGATCAAGGGCATTGCAAAGATGGAGGCTCCACATTCCCCAGGGCGTGTGGATGTGGTGAGCTGACACCCTCTGCCTCCCCAAGCAGCTGCAGAATTAGCTGGCCTTCATGTTGCCTTAGTTCTGTGTGTCAGGATCGATGAGCTTGGGCTCCTCTTCCTGCTGACCTCTGGCCCCACAGTATAAATCCTCCTGTGTTCCACTCACCAGAGCGCTCCCAGGAGACAGAATGCCTGAGGGAGGCTCTGCTGTCCTCTCGAGCCCGGCTTCAAGAGTTGGAGATGGAGCTGGAGCACCAAAAGGGGGAACGGCAGCAGCTTCTGGAAGACTTGAAGGAGAAGCAGCAGGAGATCTTGCATTTCCAGGAGGAGCGCCTGTCCCTCCAGGAGAAAGACTCCAGGTAAGAGGGAGCCCAATAAGAAGGAAGGTGGCCCTGTTTTCAGATTTAGAAGAAGGGATATTGGCAAGTCAGGTATTGGTGCCTTTTGGGACCCTCAGTTTCCCCTCTGCTATTCCTGATTTATGGATGACTTTGAGCAGAAGGAATGACTTCTCTGGGAATGCCTTTTTCACTCCAAAGTTGGGAGAGTAAAACCCTATTTTAGAAGGCTTCAGCATTATCAGGGGCACCTGGGTGGCTCAGTTGGTTAAGTGTCTGGCTCTTGATTTTGGCTCAGATCGTGATCTCCAAGTCCTAAGAACGAGCCCCGTGTTGGGCTTGGCGCTCAGCTTGGAATCTGCTTGGGCTTCTTTCCCTCTTCTTCTCTCTCCTCTGCCCCTCCTACCACTTGTACGCACACACTCTCCGTCTCTCTCAAATCAATCAATCAATAAATCTTAAAAAAAGAAAAAAAAGGTTTTCAGCATATCAGATCCTGGAGAAAAAATGTTCTCATCCTTCCAGTTAGTTTAAGGATATTAGTCTCACCGTAATGGAGGAAGCATCCTCACCAACCGTCATGCGCATCCCCGGCATAAACCCTGTAACTGCCGGTCACCGTGAAAAGAACACTGTAGGGGCAGTAAGAATACGGAGCTGTGTGTCTGCTCCCAGCTAACGTAGCTAATGGCATGACTTCAAGCAAAGTTACTTCACCTCTCAGAGCTTGTTTCTACATCTGTAAAATAAAAGGAAAGGTCTTCATGGCCCCTGGGTTGACATGTCGGGCTAAAACACCATGATGCAAAGGCAGGCTGACAGCAGGTGCCCTGGAGCGGCCGAGGGGCGCTGGCCACTCAGCAGGCCCTTGCTTCCCCCCTGCAGGCTGCAGCGTAAGCTGGCCCTCCTGCAGCAACAGTGTGAAGATAAACAGCAGCTCTTCCAGTCCCTCCGGTCGGAGCTACAGATCTACGAGGTGCTTTATGGCAATTCCAAGAAGGGGCTGAAAGGTATGTGTCTCCCGTCCCCCCTCCCCCATGAGCTCCCTGCCCTTGCTTAGGATCCTGGTGAGGTCTTTACCCTGGGAGTTGTAGAGCTCTGGAAAGACTTCTGCCTCGGAAACTCCCAGCCAGGTCTAGGGCTGCCAATAAGAACAGAGGGGTTCTCTCATGCGCAAAGCCCAGGGGTTGGTGACATGAGCAAGATCCAGCTGAGACATCCTTAAAAGTAGGCCACAAGAGTCCAACTCTGCCTACCTAGATGGCCAGGGAAAAGCTGATAGAAGTCCAGCTTATACAGTGATTTTTTTTTTTTAATTCAAAGAACTGTCCTGATGGCACCATCAAGTGAGAAGGTCTTGAATATTGTGACTAATACAGATTGACCACCCATGCAGCCAGTACAGTGGGCAACCTGCTCCCACCCTGACCCATTCCCCAGGGAGAAAATTAAAAGATGCAAAACATTTACAGAAATACCTCTATTAGAATCTAAATTTCAAGCCTGGATTTAAATTTTAAACCATTTTATTTGAGGACTTTTGCCACCTGCTAAAATACTGATCTAACGTTGGAGAATCTTCTTCTATTTCCCCATTGCCGTACAAATGGGAGAGCGTATTCTAAACATCAAGTTAATAACTCCAACCAGGCTAGAACAGAGGACTGATGTCAACATGATAAATTTAGAAAAGATAAAAAAAAACACCAAAAAACCTTGAGCTTGATTAAAATTATCAGTGGTAGAGGTACAGGATGGGAAGGCCTGGCTCTCTAGCCATTCGTGAGCTTGAGGATGGGGAGTTAGTTAGAAACCCACTGGGACAAGGAACTTGTAGGCAAAGGTTGCTACAAAAGCCAATTCAACCTGAGACCGCAGTAGGGTAAGAGTGGTGTCCATATGAAGTGACCATGTCGGAAATACTGTTAGATTGTGGGGCACCATCTTGTAAAAGGGACATTGGCAAACCAGGGAACATAGTGAAGACAGGGACCACCATGCTGGGAGACCAGAAATCTTGAGCTGTCAGAGAAACTAACCAATTTTAGGCCTGGAAAAGGTCACAAGGAGAAGAGAACTGGCTTTAAATATTTGAAGAACTATCAGGTGAAAAAGAGCTGATGTGTTTGGTGTCCTTTTAGAGGGCTGAACAAGAGTCAAAGGATGAAGGGCAGTGGAATTTGGACTTACATAATTTATGTCTTCCTTACCCCTAGAGCCTTCAAGTGATGGAATGGCTAGTTTGTGAAGGAATAAGCTTCCCATCCAAGCCCTCTTTAAACAGAAAGGGATGACTTGTCAAGGATCCCATAGAAACAGCTCTTGCTTTGGATGGGATGTTGGCTCTCTCAGCCTTGCAGTTCTAATTTTTTTTTATTTTATGTTTAAAAATTCCTTAAGCAATATGGAATTTTCAACATTCAGCCAAATTTGCATTTTCATAAAACCTGATTGGATTTCCTAATTTGCTGATGAGAAGGTGAACCAGAACTCAAAGAAGTATCAGGCGCACCGCAGCCTGAGAGAATAGTTTATGTGCGCTCATGGGAGCATCGGGTCCAACCTGCCTGTGGGAGAGCTTTGTATCAGGGAGTGTGAGAAGTCAGGTCAGTTGATGAGACAGCTGCCGGTATGTAGAGGACCAACGAAGTACGATGAAAGTTTACATTCTACATAGCAGGCCATGGAAAATGAGTGTTTTTCCAAGCAAAATAGGTACTTGATGGGAACAGAACTCTCAGACGGTAGGACTGGTGGGACACGCTGGAGTCAGGAGACGTTCGAATCAGGGAAACCCACTGAATGGGGGCAGTTATAGGGCATTTACGTGAGGAGAGTCTGATATAAAGTGCTATTGGGAAGAGAAAGAGGAATGGATAGATGGACAACATTTTTTAAAAATAAGCAAAACTTTGTGAGAATTTGGATGTAGGGAAAGAAAGATAGGAAAGAGCTTCATGGAGCTTTGGGGTTAGTATCTAGAAATCACTTCATCCTGCCTACATCTTCTTTCATGCCTTTCTCCCTTCTTATAGGTGTTTTAGGAGTCATTTCAAAGCTACTACCACTAAAGCCCCATAGTCTCTTATCCTTAATTCTATAATCCTGTGAGAACCATGAATTCTGTGATATCTCTTTCATATACTCATTTGGTCACAAAACCTATCTGAACTGACCGAAAGGGTATTCACAGTCTTCACTTCCCCACTCAGTGATAATGTTCACCCGGCTCATCACAGAAATATGAATGTGGGTGGCTCAGTCGTTAAGTGTCTGCCTTCGGCTCAGGTCATGATCCCGGGATCCTGGGATCGAGCCCCACATTGGGCTCCATGTTCTGCGGGAAGCCTGCTTCTCCCTCTCCCACTCCCCCTGCTTGTGTTCCCTCTCTCTCTGTGTCTCTCTCTGTCAAATATATAAAATCTTCAAAAAATATATATGAATGTGTTTGACTAAAGGCCTGTGGCTCAGATGCAACCCTATGCATGCACTACATGATAGATGGTATATGGATCCTATTGCCTTCCTACACACCAAAACAAATTCTATTTTTTGAAATATATTTGGCTTCAAGGTTTCAGATAAGATATGTGGTCTTGTAAAATATTGCTTACCTCTCTTCATCCCTGGTATGAAGAAACAGACTGTGTGTGGCAAATGGAGGTAAAAAACAAAACAAAACATGGCGAAGTAGAACAGTTCAGTGAGTTGTGACCCCCAGCCTCTAGCAGAGACTCCCATTCCTACATGCTGTCAAAGGCCTGGTGCCTCCTCTCCTCTCCGAGGTGACTCCTGAGCATGGAGGCATCAACTCTCCTTCTCCATCATCTCCTGCCCTTCTGTAGCGCGGTGCTGACCCCCTATCTCGGAAGACCCCACTCTCTGACCTGTAGCACTAGGGTTCCTGTGGAAGTGGACTAATAATAGGCCTTGACCCCACCTGCTCATCCAAGGCTCTCCAGATGCAGGTGGGTCACATGAGCCTCAGGGAAATTCCCGTGTGCGGTCTGTCTCACTCTGCGTGCCAGGCCCCACACGGGCAAAGGGGCAGCTCCGTCCCAGATGTGTTGCCTGGGACCCTGAGAGGACAGCGGGATCCCGAGCCAAAAGGAGTGTCCCAGAGGAGTGTTCTGACAAATGCTTGGAAAGCTTGGATCCCAGCCACCAGACCAGACCCCTCCCCTCTCTTCTTTCAGCTTCCACCCGGGATGCCGGGCACCAGGTCCCTTCGAGCAGTGACTTGAGCCAGCTGGTGGCAGAGATCCGAGCTTTGCGAGGGCAGCTGGAGCGAAGCATCCAGGTGAACAACGGTCTGCGACAGCAGCTGGAGCAGCAGTTGGACGGTGAGGGGGGCAACGCCAGCCTCAGCCCCTCCTCCGCCAACCAGGAGGACCCTGGAAACAAGCAACCGCTCTTCCATGGTGGGAATGACAAGGGGACCGGGACAGCCGTAGCCAGGGGGGCGGGGGCCAGGACGTCTGTGGTGGAAGGGACCGGCTTCCCTCTCCCACACTCCTTAGGGTCCGGGTGAAATCGCAGACGTTTCAGTGTCCAGCCTGGGGCGAGGGGGCGGGGTTGAGGGTCCCAGCTCGCTAGGGCTCCAGACTCTGAGTTTGTGCGTGCAAGTTGCTTGCCTTGGGCAAGGTGTTTGAAGTCCTCGGGTACTTAAGCCTTACTTTTCTCATCTTCAAGATGAGGATAATAATCATATATATGTTGTAAGGCCATTTGGAGCATTAAGGGGAATAATTTACAAGTGCCTGACACGATAAGGATTGCTCCGCAGTTAACAGCTGTGTATGTTAGTATCTCTTCCTTGTATTTGTGGAGTGCTTTAGAATTTACCATGCGTTTTCAGGGCGCCTGGGTGGCTCAGTCAGTTGGGCGATGGCCTTCGGCTCAGGTCATGATCCCGGAGTCCCGGGATCGAGTCCCGCATCGGGCTCCCTGCTCAGCAGGGAGTCTGCTTCTCCCTCTGACCCTCTTCCCTCTCATGCTCTCTCTCTCTCATTCTCTCGCTCTCAAATAAATAAAATCTTAAAAAAAATAAAAAATAAAATTTACCATGGGTTTTCAAACAATTTTTCAAAGTTTTTCATCCGAGAGGTAAGGGAGGGTTTACTCTCCGTATTTCAACGTGGGAAAACTTCGGCATTGAGACGTTAACTCGCACACCAAGGTTTGCGACAGCTGAGACCCCACCCAGAATTCGAACCAGCTGTTTTGGTTTCCAGCCCCCGTCCTTCCTCCTCACTATGCTCTGTCTCGGTGTCCCTGGCCTTCCAGATCCCCATTCCTTGGTGGGAGGGGAACTCAGCTGAGTGGAAGCCGTTCCTGTCCCGGAGGCTGTCATCCCCTCTCCTGCTTGCCTGCTCTCTCCCTCTCTTCTCAAAGTCCTTCATCCAGCCCCCTTTGCCTAGCTTCTATCTGAATGTTAATACTGCCACCCCCAATCTTGACACACTCAGATCAACTTCGTCTTCTTTCTCTTCTTCTTCTTTTCTTTTTTTAAGATTTTCTTTATTTATTTGACAGAGAGAGACATAGTGAGAGAGGGAACACAAGCAGGGGGAGCGGGAGAGGGAGAAGCAGGCTTCCCACTGAGCAGAGAGCCCCATGCGGGGCTCGATCCCAGGACCCTGGGACCATGACCTGAGCTGAAGGCAGATGCTTAACGACTGAGCCACCCAGGCGCCCCTTTTCTCTTCTTTTTTTAATTCACTAACTCCTCTCACCTCCAGGGCCCTATTTTCAACTGTATTTCAACAGGAGCCATTTCTGCTCAGGATTATCTAAAGCTGAGCTTTCAAACACATTCCTGCCTGCTTTTCCTGGGGCATGTTAATCCTTAGCCCCCCCCCCCCCCCCCCCCGTCCTGGGCCTGCGAGACTTTCACTGATGAGATAATGACCTCACTTGTCAAATGAAGGTGATGCTTCCAAGATCCTGTGTTGTGGCCATTAGATAAGAAGGTGTCACGTGGACTGTGGCCCGTAGGAACTGCCGGGCTCCACCCAGGCTGCCGTGATGGTTGTAGTGTTGTTATGACCCCTCACTCTGCCCTCCTACCCGGTGCCCCCACGACCCCAGCCAGGACTCAGCCCCAGCAACTCCACCACTGCTTCTGCTGCTCATCCGCCCAAGACGCCTGAGCTAGAGAGCTGGTTCTAAGCCACCTCCTGAGCAGGATTGTCCCTGTCTCCTCTCTTTTCCAATTCCTCCGCTGTAGGATTGCTGCCTGGTCTCCAGGAGGGTGTCTCTCGCCCGCCACACCTTCTCATCCTACTGCATTTTTTCTAGCGCTAACTCATCAGAACGGTGATTGGAACGCTAGTTTAATTGCCCACAAGTCCATTCATCCTTTGATTTAGTATTTTTGACACATATACTATGCATATGGGATGTGGAAATATTGGGACTCAGAGCTGATGGCCAAGAAAGAATTCTTAAGACATTTTTGGTGCAGGGCGCCTGGGTGGCTCAGTTGGTTAGGCGACTGCCTTCGGCTCAGGTCATGATCCTGGAGTCCCGGAATCGAGTCCCACATCGGGCTCCCTGCTCAGGAGGGAGTCTGCTTCTCCCTCTGACCCTCTTCCCTCTCGTGCTCTCTATTTCTCATTCTCTCTCTCTCAAATAAATAAATAAAATCTTTAAAAAAAAAGACATTTTTGGTGCAAAAAGGTTTTTATTACAGCACGGGGACAGGACCCATGGGCAGAAGAGCTGCGCTGGGGTTGTGAGGAGCCGTCGGTTATATACTTTGGAGTTGGGGGAGGCAGAGGCAAAGGGAAGTTTCCAAAAGGACTTTAATATGCTAAAGAAGACTCAGGGGATACTGGAGGCCTGGCTATTGTCAAGCTAAGACTGTTTTTCCCTCTAGTAGGTCATTAAGACAGTTGGGAGCTCCTGAAGTAACGTCTTACTCTGCCCGCCTCAAGTATTTGTCCCTGGGCTGCAGGGTGTAAGGACATTTAACCTTATCTACATCTCCTTTTGCCTTTGTTCTCCACATCATAGGTGTGCATATTTATACTTAGTTACAAGGCAGTGTATTAGAAATTGCACACATAATTATATTCAAAATGCAGGTTAGAAAAATGCACCTAACAATTCTTCAGACCAGAAGTTGCTTCTCATGGAACACATTAAAGGAACATGTTCTTGTTCCAAACTAAGGGATGTGTTTGCTGTTGCTTACAATCATGGTCTGGGAGTGACGATGATGTAAGAGACAAACCACACTGCCTTAGATCTCTGCTGGTGAAGACTAGGCTGTGCATGGGTTTGGTGAGCAGTGCGTTCCAGGGTTCTTCCAGGGTTCCTGAAAATTGTTTTTGTCTTTACGCCCTAGACTCCATTGCTTCCCCTCCAGTACGAGATGTTGGCATGAATTCTCCAGTGCTCGTGTTCCCTGGCCCTTCTCCCGCTGCTCCTGGCTCAGAGACCGCCATCTTCAATAAGACAAATGGTAACTATGGCAACTGAAGGATTCAGGGACTGATGATATAAAATTACCAATGCAAGTAACTTTTGGTTACTAATGGACACATTATCTGATTGTAGAGATTTTTTTTCCCCCGGGTCCCAAGGTCTTCAGCCCTACTCATTCCACCTTCTGTGGCCACCTTTCTTGCCATTATTCTTCCTCTTGTGGTTTTTCCTATTGCTCTGTTGTACTTCATTGTATGGTGCTCTCTCCCTCCTTGAAAGTGCTCTCTGTGTCCAGCTTAATTTGTCTGTGTCTTCTCAACCGGAAATTAAAAACTTTCTGTTAAAATCATATTTGTCCTGGATATTTCATTTGTCAATAAGGATAAAATTTGCCTCCTGGCCATTTTATCATTATGAGTTGATGTAAGAAAGATTATAAAAATGTAGAACCCAGAAATCTATGGACTTCATACCTCGCTTGTACTTTCCCAGAGTGCCTTTCCTGTTCCTGGCCTCTTTCAGTAATTGATGTCTATTTTAGAATGGACTGGACTGAGGATATGCTTATCACTGTGGATTCTGTGTTGTTCTGGTTTTGTTTTTCAGAGCTGGATTTGGATGCTTCGGCAGTAATGAATCCTCCCAAGCTGGAGGGCGAAGCTACTGATGGTTCTTTTGCCAGTAAACATGGCCGCCATGTCATTGGCCACATTGATGACTATAGTGCCCTACGACAGCAGATAGGGGAGGGCAAACTGCTGGTCAAAAAGATAGCAGCTCTTGTGAGATCAGCCTGCACCTTCCCAGGCCTTGAAACTCAGGGCACAGAGGTAATCACGTTGTAGATCTTAGGTGTTCCTTTTTCCTCGTGCCCTTTCTCCTTCTGATCTGAGCTCCTTCTCCCACTGCACATCTCCCACAGCTGAGGCTACATCTTCTGCTTATGCCCAGCCAGGCCTTTCTTCTCCATCCCCTATTTTCACTATAAACTCCGCTCTGACTGATTTTTCCTCTCAGAAACACAGAAGAGCTTGAGGAGCATTGTCATCCTCATCTGTAGAACATTTGCTGAGTATTGGCTTATGTGTGGTGCTCTACTGAGCACCCTTTGTTCGCTTATTATCTGGTCCAGTCACCCTGGCACATGGTCATCTGTGGGCAGAGTAAAACCACTTAATCAGGTGGCTGGAAATTCAAGATTTGCATCCAAATGGGCCACATGTTGTAGAAGGGGTGAGAGGCCTGGCAGCCGTGGGATTTCTCTGCGCAGACTGAGCAGGGGAGGGAAACGGGCAGTGTGCCTTCTCAGAGTACTTCCCTGTTCAGAGGACAGGTACCAGGTGCTGCGTTCTCCAAGCCACTGGAGACGCATGGACATGCAGGGACAGCCCTGTCCCCCAGAGCCCCCAACCCAGAGAGAAGGCCACACATCCAAGTAAATAAGGACAACAGGGGCCCTGGGCTCAGGATCAGAAGCCATCCTCTGAGTTGTGAGGGCACGAACACAGAAGGGGTCATTGTGCCAGGCAAGGAAAGTCACAGGGGCCTAGAGGAACCACTAGGGGGATACGCAGGTTCTCGGGGTGATGGAGGGTAGCATTCCAGGTAAAGGGAATGGCATTTCAGTCCTTGGAGCTACAAATAGTTCAGCCCAGCTGAAGCAGAAGGTATGATTTAGAGATGTGCACAGGGGTGCCAGGGCAAAAATCAGGGACCTTAGACCCGAGAGCACGGAGCAGGACTAGAAGCTTACAGAGAGTATGACAGAAGCCGGAATCTAGTGATTCTTGCAAGTTGGAGGTCACTGCTGAGGTGGAGATCCGGCTTCCAGGTTAAAAAAGGGTTTCACAGGGTCAAGCAGGCCCGTGACTGTGCCTCACTCACGAAGGAAACCTGAGCCCTGTGCTGGGGGCGGGGGGGCGGGAGAGAGCGATCTCTCAGCCTCGGTGGTACCCAGGGCTATATCCCCTCTCCCCCAGGTGCCCGGCAGCAAAGGCATCCATGAACTTGGGAGCAGCGCCCAGGCCCTGCAGCACACGCTGGAGGAGTCGGCCTCCCTCCTCACCATGTTCTGGCGAGCGGCCCTGCCCAGCTCCCCCGGCCCTGCCCTGTCTGGCAGCACGGTGAGTGGTGGCCTCCTTCACCGCTTTTGCCCTAAATGCCATTCTGCCTCCTTGGTTCCACAAGTCCTAAAGGTCAGGAGCTAGACAGCTGAGTTGGGACTGAGGGGCCTTAGGGGAGCGTCCCCAGGGGAAGACCTGTCATCTGTGGTGGTGGCTGGCAGTGCAGCTCGGAGGACATCCCTTCTCCACCCCCCCCACCCCCCCAGCAAAGAGGGAAGGACAGAACAGGGAGAGGGTAGACGCATGAGAACCCCGGTGACCAGGAATGTTCAGGTTCTTTCACTTTTGGAACTTAGCTGAGCTGAAAAATTTAGGGACCTGTGAAAATGTCGAAAACTCCTTTCCCCATGCCACCCCCACAGAATATGACCAGCCTCCTTGAGCCACCCACTGCGTCATTCCAATACATAGCGCCCCTCCACATCTCTGGGCCAGGCCTGGGAGAGTCAGCCTCCCCACCCGCCAGGTGCCCTCAGCCTTGAGGCCTGGACTCTGGGTAGTGGGAGCCTGGACAGGAAGGCTTCTCAATTTATCCCCCACCGCCCTCCCCAGGATTCTAAGGCCAGATTAAAGTCACGGACACCTTATGGGCCCAAACTATGCCAGTTCTGAGGGAGAGGGTGTTTTGCCATCTTGAAGTTGGTCCAAAGATCTACAAAATCGCAGACTGTCTCCCCAGGCACAACATTCCCAACCAGCAAGCCTTCTCCGAGGTGCCAGGGCACTAGAACTGGTGTCAGCGCTAAATGTGAGCTCTTGTACCACCGCTGGGGGTCCTGGGGCTGCCCTGCGGTCAGTTCTCCTCAGCAGCAGGGGTGGAGGCCTGTGTCCATCTGCATGGAGGCTCCCAGGTTCTCAGAGTTCCAACCCAATGGCCTCATTCTAAGCGGGCCTCAGCTGGAGGGTTTTAGAGGCTTTCATGGAGGGACTCCAGTCCAGAAATAGTTGAGAAGATTATAGAATCCCACTTTTGATTTTCAAGAGCAGCAAAGCATGGGGTGCTTTTAGGCCTTCTGACCATTGACAGAGAGACCGTTTCCCTTCCCCAGGGACAGTCCATGAAAAGGGAACTTCTGGAACTGAGAACCAAACTGTCCAAACAGGAGAGTCTCCTTCAGAGCACAGTGGAGCGTCTGAAGACTGCCAACCAGCAGAAGGAGAGCATGGAGCAGTTCATCTTCAGCCAGTGTGGGTGTCCCCGAGCCAGGGGATGGGAGAGGAAATTAGGGGTGGGGGGACTTCCAGACTCCCCACTTGTGCTACAGATGGACCGTGACCAGAAAGACCGGGGGGGGGTGCAGACCGATGTAATGTCCCCAAACGTCCTGTGCCATGAGTAATTGTAGATGCAGAGGAAGGGGCACTGGGTGGCGGCAGCAGAAGACCCTGAGCTGGGCGACCAGAAGGATACCCTTTAGAACACACCAGGCAAGTATGGGCCCAGCTGGTCACTTCTGCCTGTTGTGCTGTTTTGTTGTTTCAGTGACCAGGACACATGATGTTTTGAAGAAGGCAAGGACTAATTTGGAGGTAAGGAGACCATTGCACCCGCCAGAGCCACAGAACCCAGGCCCAACCCATCCCATATCCATCCCCACCTACCTTCAGAGTCTGCGACGATCCCGGACCCACTCTGACCTTCCCGGAGAGGATTTCTGGTCCACTCCTAGGACTCAGGTCCTCACTAAGTGTCCTTGTAGCTTCGTGCCCCATCACCTCTCCCACCCCAGTCTGTCCCCTGCCATCTCCTCTCCTTGTCACATTGTCACCCTCTCCTCACCCCACTTCTTCCCTCCTTTAGGCCAAGTCAGGAGTCCGACGAAAGCAAGTGAGTTGATTCCCAAGATCAGAGGACATGGGGAGTCCACCTCTGAATTAGCTTCCAGGAAAGGGCTCTGGGACCAGCTCTAGTGTTTCCTGTAGCTCTTTTCACTTCATGAAAAAATAAACCCCAGATGCGATCGAATCGGTTGATTCCACTGCACGCTCTAGCGGCAGAGAACAGCAATTCAGTTTTGATCTTTCTTTTTCCAAAGAAAACCATTGGGTCTTCTTGAACTAAAAGAGAATTTGATAATAAATAAAAATGAAACTTGAAGGGAAACATTTTATGTATATAGCAGCTATTCTGTACGTTTACTTCAAATACTAACCCATTCCCTAGCAAGTAAGCTGAAGTGTGGCAAATGGCTTGTAAATCAGAAACTAAACCTTTAGGTAAGGCACCAGGGTGGCTCAGGCAGTTGAGCATCTGACTTGATCGTGGCTCAGGTCTTGATCTCATGGTTGTGGCTTCAAGCCCAGTGTTGGGCTCCACACTCGGCATGGAGATTACTTAAAAAAGAAGAAAGAAAGAAACTAAACCCTTCACTTGGACTTTAAAGCTCTGCCGTAAGCAGTTGGGCCGATTCCTAGGAATGTTCCTGATGGAAACTGAGAGAATGTTGATCCCACAGTATGAAAATGACTTCATGACTTCACCCTCCTTTTTTGGGGGGCGAATTCCCTTTTGTTCTTCTCTGATGATTCCTTTCTTTCCTGAGCCTGTTTAGAAGAACACATACAAGATGGCCTCTGTAAAGCCTTATTCCTGTCCCAGCAAAGGTAACCCAATAGTCCCACACACCCACTGGCTTCCCCTTGTTCGGAAGTTTCCTCTGCACTTCCCAGAGACCAATGGAAAGGGCCCGAGGCCTGGGTTCTAATCCCAGGCTTGTCACTAACTGGCCCTGTGGCTGGCCCCCTCAGTGTCGGTGAGCCCGCCGGCCCTCATCTGTAAGAGGGGGCACTAGACGTTGGGGGGGTGGTTCTGAGCTCCCTGCTGATGCGGCCCCTCCCTCTCCTCATTAAGTAAGTGGGACATGAACTTAACAGGGGACTTCTCTGCACAACATTCTCTCCTTCCTACCACAGGCTTTTTTTTTTTTATTATTATATTAACCACCATACATTACATCATTAGTTTTTGATGTAGTGTTCCATGATTCATTGTTTGTGCATAACACCCAGTGCTCCACGCAGAATGTGCCCTCTTTAATACCCATCACCAGGCTAACCCATCCCCCCACCCTCCTCCCCTCTAGAACCCTCAGTTTGTTTTTCAGAATCCATTGTCTCTCATGGTTCATCTCCCCCTCCGATTTACTCCCCTTCATTCTTCCCCTCCTGCTATCTTCTTCTTTTTCTTTTTTCTTAACATATGTTGCATTATTTGTTTCAGAAGTACAGATCTCTGATTCAACAGTCTTGCACAATTCACAGCACTCACCATAGCACATACCCTACCCAATGTCTATCACCCAGCCACCCCATCCCTCCCACCCCCCACCACTCCAGCAACCCTCAGTTTGTTTCCTGAGATTAAGAATTCCTCATATCAGTGAGGTCATGTGATACATGTCTTTCTCTGATTGACTTATTTCACTCAGCATAACACCCTCCAGTTCCATCCACGTCGTTGCAAATGGCAAGATCTCATTCCTTTTGATGGCTGCATAATATTCCATCCACAGGCTGTTTCTACATGGGCATGTTTCATACTAAGCACATCGGCTCCTGGGAGGTCACAAAAGCCATCATTTTGCTCCAAGTGAACTGGGGAGTGAACTGGCCCGTGAAGAGGGAATGTGGGATCTGGGCACCTGGTGTGCAGTGGCTCTGAGCAGGGCCATCACCCGCCCGAGGTGGTGGGGAACTTTCCCTCTCACCTGGTGGCACCTCGGGACGGCGCCCCTTGCCCTGGGCGCATCCTTCTGTCAGGCTCTCTCTGAGCTCCCGGCTCTGCCACCGCCCAGTGCTCACTGCAGCTCAGGCAGCCACCAGCAGGCCCTGATCCTGGACTCTCACCTTGTTCTTTTTGTCTCCAGGTGAAGTCCCTAAGGGCTCTGCCGTACACCCCAGTCTTGTGACCCTTGCCTTCCAGGAGCCACGCAAGAAGAGGAGCCGCCAGAGGTCTTGCCAACAGCAGGAAGGATGGGCCTGCCCCCCTTTGGTGCAGATGCCAATCTACTGAGGAGACCTGGATCCCACTCCTCCACACCTGCTGGAGGGTCCAGGAGGAGTCAAGAGGCCGGGCCGGTGGAGGAGGGCGGAGAGCAGACAGCCTCTCCTATGGCTAAGGGACACCATCCGCCAGGGGCTGCTCAGCCCCGCACTGAGCAAACACGCACAGTCTGTAGAGGAGCTCGTGACACTGCTTCTTAGTGCCGCACTGGCCTGGGGACTGGCAACGGCCACTTCTCGCTCCAGCGCCCGTCCTCAGATGGTCAGCTCAGGGGACACAGGGCCCTGCTGCCTACAGATGGGACACCTGGTCCCCACACGGGAGCTCTTCGGCCCGTTCCAAAGCCCACGAGTGACAGCGGTGCCCTGAGGGCCAGTGGGGCTCAGCCAGCACGACCCCCAGATCCACACTTCCCCGGGGCCAGCTCAGCCGGGTCGCCGTCAGGCTGGGTGTCAGTCTACACCGCGGCTCCTGAGTGCTTTGAATGCACATGGCCAAAGCGCTGGCTTCCCACGCACCATCTCCTGCTTAGCCTAGCACCTCCTAGTTCCCTTCTTTTAGGATCTCCAAAGTGTGGCCACCTCGCTCTGAATATGCTGTCGCCTTGCATCACCCTAACTCCTCTCTGGGGAACTGGGACTCGTGGCCAGGCCAAGCCCAGTGAAAGTCATGTGTAAGACAAACCGGTGATCATTTTGAAGTGGCACCTGAGAAGCCTCCAGTTGTGGGAAAGCCTAGTCTGTGTCCTGACAGTGCTTTAGAAGGCATGTACGTGTGTATAAATGTACCATAGATATTTATATATGTTGCTATAGTGATATGTTGAGGGCAACATAACTGGTGGACAGGGTCTGTTAGAGGAAATGAAACACGGTCTTTTTGGTGGCTATGAAAGGAAAATGTGTATAAAGAAAAAAATCATTTTTCCTCACCTGCTCTGTTTCTGATTTCGGCACCAGTCTCTAGGCTGAGTGTGTAAGAGTAGGAAAGGCACACTGTCCCTAAGAAGGTCATAGTCTAAGACTTGGAGTCTAAGTTTAAAAGAAGAAGTCTTGCCTTCTTCATTTTGTAAAAATCCCCAATCTGAAAATAGAAGAGAGTGGTTCTTAGATTTGGAGAGCCTTAGAATCAGCTGTGGGGATCAGAGAAGCCACTTCCTTGGTCCCAAATGCCAAGAGATTTCGTTGGTGTGGGGCCCCACAATGTGCATTTCTTACATAAATACCCCAGGTGATTCTGATGCGGGTGGGCTGCAGACCACAGCTGAAAACTGTTTTTCTCTAACACTGACCCAAAAGTATAAATAGTTTTCTTTAAAGATTTTATTTATTTATCTGACAGAGAGAGAGCACAAGCAGGGGGAGCGGCATGCAGAGGGAGAAGGAGAAGCAGACTTCCCACTGAGCAGGGAGACCAGTGTGGGGCTCAATCCCAGGACCCTGGGACCATCACCTGAGCAGAAGGCAGACACTTAATGACTGAGCCACCCAGGTGCCCCCAGTTGTTTTATTTTCACTGATACCCTTCAGTTGAAAAGTGTATAAGTCCTTCCATAAATGTTGGCATAGAGACCTGCAAATATTCCTTGGGAAGAGTCCTTAGTTATGTCCTTTTGCCTTCCTAGAATTACTATAAAGCTATCACTCCACAATTATTTCCTAGACAGAGTTAAAACCACAGACAATAACAACAAACAAAACCCTCAGAAACGATCCTCACAACCATCGCCACCACCACCAGTAACAAAAAGACCCAAGAAAAGACTCGCACCCAAGGTAGGGCTGCCCCTACTTTTACAGTCGATGGAGTGACCGCGCATCTGCTCTCACGCTCTGCTGTTCAAGTGTTTCCATGAAGGCCTTTGGCCGTCGATATAGAGGAACTCGCTGGCCCAATCAGCAGAATGGATGAAAGTCAGTTAGCTATCAAGATAAGGAAAGCAGGGTGCCTGGGTGGCTCAGTTGGGTAAGCATCTGCCTTTGGCTCAGAAATTATCCCAGGGTCCTGCTCAGCGGGGAGCCTGCTTCTCCCTCTCTCTCTCTGCCTGCCTCCCTCTCTCCATCAAATAAATAAATAAAATCTTAAAAAAAAAAAAAAAAGACAAACCAAGGGCAGGACCATGTTGCCCTGTGGTGATTCCAGCATCCCAGCAATTCATCCTCCATCCCTGTGCCACCAGGGCTGGTGCACACTGACGGGATAGTCAGTAATCAGTGGCGAACTCAGATACTGCTGCTACAAAATTCATTTTCGGTACATAACATTTAGGAAAGCAATAGCACATGGTGTCATATAAACCTCACTCTGCTCAGGATCCAGGCACAGCTCTCTTTCCAGGAAAAGCCCTAAAGCCCATTCTTTATTTCACCCTTTGTGAAAGGTTGAAAAGTAGCTCTGTGCCTTAAGAGAACTCATTGCAACAAAAATGAGCTCCTTCGTACCTTTGATGGGAGGATTGTCCAATATTCACCTTTTTGTAAGTTATGTCCTACCCCTCCCCGTGCAAGTAACAGAGCCCACTCCTAAAAATTAAAAATCTTTCTGTGTGACCACCAATTCCTATAAGAACCTTGCTGAGCCCCTGCAGGGAACAGACTGTGAATCCCAGGGAAAAGAATGGAAAGAGAAAAGATGGCAAGTGATGAGAACAAAGCAAAAGAAATGTCGGTAAAAGTAAATGTCCTTACAACCTGCAGTCCATGGATACATACCTGAGACAGGCGGAGCAAGACATTCCTCCAGGAGCTCACAACCGCCTTAAGGGTAATGCTTCACCAGAGGAAAAAGCACCTTAGCTAGAAAATAGCCAGACCTCCAGGATCCTGGAAGTCTCCTTTAACACCTAAAAATCCTTTGGAGACTTCTTTATCTCTACCCTCTACCCCCAATGTAAAGTATATCATCAGTCACTCCTCACAATCTCAGGGCAGCTTTTCCTGCCCAGGGTTCCTGTCCCTGAACTTTCATAAAACCACCTGTTTGTACCGAAGACACCTCAGGAATTCTTCCTTGGCCGTTTGCTCCGGTCCCACATCCCATCAGCAGGTACCTAAACGTAGCACGTGAACACGAATAAAACCGGCCCTTGACCTGTCGACCTAGGACAGACAACCTGCAGAATTTGTACAGAATTTATCGCATCCCCCAGATCTCATTACCGCTGAGGTGAATGAGCTAGATGATTACATCAGTTTGCTATTCCTGTGGTACCAAGTCGCCTAAACATGGCACCTTAAAAGAACACACATGTTTTATCTTACAGTTCCGACGGTGCAAAGTCCCAACAGGGCTCTCACTGGACTCAAATCAAATGTCCACAGGGCTGCCTTCCCTTCTGGGGGCTCTAGGAGAGGGTGGAAATAAGTCAAGGGAAACCTCACTAAAGTGCAGTCCTGAGGTTTCAGCAAGGGAGCTCCTTCACTCTCCTTACCTCCTAGGGCATCGCAGCCCCCAGGGGAAGAGACTGATCTGACCTTACAGGGACTTGACATTGCACATGGATAGGCCTCCACTAACCCGGCCAGAGTAAGAAACGCTAGCCTTGTCCCCCAGGGAGACGCCAGCACACTTCCAACTCACATTTCACCCCGATGGACTTTTATAACAGCCTTCCCAACTGACCCCTTTTCTCCAAAAAGAAGAGCTTACCTCCCCCTGTTCTCCAGACTCGCCTATGGTTTTGCCACAGCTGGTTTGTCCCACATCACCTTTCCCTTTTATTCCCCACGAATCCCATCTTTTTTTTTTAAACAATTCCCAGAAATCACCTTTATTACAGGGAATAAAACAGATGTACCACTCCCTCTTTTGGATGTCAGATTTACACAAAAGCAACACTGTACTCCCAAGCATAATATTAAAAGAGCATTAGTGTTCCCACAAATCCCATTTTGGCTGGTAAAATACCTGGCGGTTTCTATTTTTCAGGTTAATCAGGCAGTGTGTCTCTTTGCCTGTTCCAGCTCCTAGAGGCCCCTCCTCCATGCTCAGCCCCAGCCCCAGCCCCAGCAGGCAGCGTCCTCCTCACACAGCCTCCTTCCGACCTCCTTCTCTGCCTCTTTGGGTTTTAGGACCCCCTTGTCATTGCAGGGCGCCGCCTGGATAATCCAGGATCATCTCCCCATCTCAAGGTCCTTAACATAAGCACCTCTGCAGGGTCCCTTTTGCTGCAGGATGGAACATGTGCACAGGTGACTTGTGATGGGGTTTTGGAATACAGGTGAGGTTTGGTGGGGTGAGGTCCAGAGCCAACGATGAAGAAAGAATTCTTGAGATATCTCTGGTGCAAAATGGTGGTTTTATTAAGGCACAGGACAGGACCTGTGGGCAGAAAGAGCTGCTGCCCCCGGGTTGTGAGTGGAAGCTCATTATATGCTTGGGAGTTGGGGGTAGGGGAAAAGGTTCTCAAAAGAACTACAGGGGCACCTGGGTGGCTCGGTCGGTTCAGCGTCTGCCTTCGGCTCTGGTCATGATCTTGGGGTCCTGGGATCAAGCGCCCCATCAGGCTCCCTGTTCAACGGGGAGTCTGCTTCTCCCTCTCCCTCTGCCCCTGCCCCTCCCTCTGCTCATGCTCTCTCTCTCTCAAATAAAAAAATAAAATCTTAAAAAAAAAAAAAGAACTTTCAAATGCTAGAGAGGACTCACAGGAAAAGGGGAGGCCTAGCCATTGTCAAGTTAAGGTTGTCTTTCCCTCTAGCAAGGCATTAACATTAAGACAATTGGGAGCTTCCTGGAGGAATGTCACAAGTATCCCACCCAGGACTGGGGGGTGGGGGTTCAGGGTGTCAGCTTGTGCTTTATCCTCAGCTAGCCTTCTGCTCCCTCATCATTTCACCCCTGAACAATTGTGACCCTTAAATCTTTAAGGTTGTTGAAGGTGGAAGGTCTCATCTTCTGTAGCTTCTTCCTGCTGAATAGGGGCATAGAGATGTCCTTACCTATGGGTCAATATTGGTCAGTTGGGGAACATAAAGGGGAGTTACGAAAGGGGGGGCAGCTGAATCCAATCCGGATGACATATGTGAACCTCCACGAGTAGGAAAGATCATCTGTCAGCAGGAAGTTACGTCAATGAAAGTGTCTTGGCACCAGGCAGGGAGACTCTGGAAATGACAACTAATATTATAATGAGAAAAAGAAGTCTGAATCAAAGACCCAAGTTTAAAGCAATCACTAAAGGAAAGACAGATCATTTAAAGTGTCAATTTGAGGATTCATGTCAGTTAGAAACCGAGACATATTTCTGTGGTCATCTGGAGTGTATGCACGGCATTCTGTTTCTATGATAGCACAAGTTCTACCTTGTGCAGCAGCTAAAACATCTAATGCCATTCTATGTTGAAAAACTGCATCACACATTTGTGTCACCTCAGTATTTAATAGAGAAATGCTACTTTGAGTGTCATTTAGGGCTTTGACCGGGTACTTATTAGCAGCTTCCATGTGCCAAACAACATCCTCCAGTCTCAGAGAGGGAACAGAGATGGATGTCAGTTGGTCATGCCAATGAGATGTAGAACACGTCCACCATTGTTTTAAATTTGGAAGGTTGGCTGGGTTGGTAATGGTTTTAAGAATGTGTCTGTGTATCCAGGTAAAACCCAGAGAACAGTGGGCTAACCAGCCTGGGGGAAGCTATGGACACAGAGAACCACTGGGTCCATTAGGAGCCAGCCATCTAGTTTTGGGCCTCCTTGAACTGCAGTCGGGATTTCAAGGGCTATTCGGTTTTGGAGGGCCATCCTGTGAATGTGTGTAGTAATTTTAGGCCCACATTTGATTGGGGAGTTATTTGCTTGATAATAATCCCCTTTTCTTCAAATTGCTCCATGGGCATATGGGACTAGGAAGGCATATTTTGGAGTCAGTAAAATAATGATTTTTAAGGCTTTTGGCAACTGCAAAGCGTCGGTGGGCATTATTAACTGCTGTTGCG